ACCGAAGGCTGCAGCTGACAGGAGGCTGGCAGCCTCCCGACTCGGCCCCACAGTGCTCCTCACCTGCGAGAGCCGGAGTTGGGGGTCTGCCCCCACTGACTTCACAGGGGCACAGCCAGAGGCCGCCAAGGCTCCGGACTGCAGACCAGGGTCGGGGACAGCGCAGGGCAAAAGGCTCCGGGATCTGGAGTCCAGGTCGCGGGGAGGAGGGCTGGGCCCTGCGCGCAGACCCAAGCCGGCAGGGCCTGGACGCTGACCCGACGCTGAGCCGTGTCCTGCGCGCCGGGCCAGGGGTGACCCCTCGGCTCGGGTCCGGCCACCGCGGCGACGCGCCCCGGGCTGTCCCGCCCGCCCCGTCCGTCCACGGCGACAGCCCCGCGGCCCCGGTGCGCGGCGGCGCGTGTCCCCGCCCCCGCCGGCCCGCCGCCGCGCCCCCCGCGCACTCACCCATGTTCACGAAGCTCATGACCAGGTCGGCGCGGCCCAGGCGCCGCTCGAGGGGCCCGTCGCGGCCGCCGCCGCCGGCCATGGCGCGGTAGAGGTCCAGCATGAAGCGCGGCGCGGACGCGGGCAGCCGGGCGGCGGCGGGGGGCGCGCGGGGCCGGGGCCGCCCGGGCAGCCCGAGCACCGCCAGGATCTCGCGCTGCATGTCGCGGCGCTCGCGCGCGCCCAGACGGCGCGACGGGCCCCCGGGCGGGGGGCGCGGGCCGGGGCCGCCGCCGCCGCTCAGCGCGCACAGCGCCAGGCCCAGGAGCCAGAGCGGCCCGGGGCGCGCGGGCATGGCGGGCGGGCAGCGGCCGCCGCTCACCCGGCGCGCATCCGCCCGGGCTCGCCGGCCACGGGGCCCGGCCGCACCTGTCGCGGCTCCGCGGCTCGCGACGTCCCGGGACCCGCGGGCGCGGGCCGCTCCCACGGCTGTCGGGGCCGAGCGAGCTCCGGGGCTGGCGGGGCGGCGCGGCGGACCCGGCCGAGGGGGCGCCTCGACGTCTGGGAGGCGCGGCCCGGAGTGCGGCCGCCGGCGCGAGCCGCCCTCTGAGTGGCGCGTCCCTGGCCCCGCCCCCCGGGCCGACCAATGGGACGGCGGGGCGGGGCCAAGGCCCGGGCTCCGACCCTCGAGGGGCCCTGGGCCGGTGCGGGAACCGCTGGTACGACTCGCCCGCTGGGAGTGGGCAGTTCGTGCAAGGGTCCTGCCGCTCAGCCGTCCGGGCCGTCAGGGTCGTCTTGGGTCTCCCCCCAGGCACTGACTCAGGCGCGGGGTCTGGCTCTGGGCCCCAGGACAGCGGACCCTCGAGCGCCCTCCGCCAGTCCCCGACCCCGGGCTCGGTGCTGCGGGCGGCTCAGGCGCGGCCTAGAAACGCGGCGTGAGTCCCACGTGCCGGGGCCCGCCGGGGTCAGCCAGGCCCGGAGGGTGACCGCATCCCTGCGCGGCCGCAGCCCGGGGTCCTTGTCGGTCCCGGCGGCTGGCCTGGTCACCCGGTGCCTTCCCCGCTGCGGCCCCGCGCAAACCGTCCCCGGGGCGTCTCCTTCCCGGGTAAAGCGCCGTCGCGGCTCTGCGTGCGCACCGCGGGGCTCCGGCGGCCTCGTAGCGCGCCCAGTGCTGCTCCGGCTGTCCCGGGTCGCGCACAGGCCTCCAGCGCCGCCCACGGGCGCTGGTCCCCTCCCGACACCACCTCTCGACGCCGAGCATCCAGTCCCTTTGCGATTTCACTTGCTTCCCACCCGGACTTGAGAAGACGCCTCGGGGAACTGCTCTTGATTCACTGTCCTGTATGCTCCCCTCTCGGGTGGTCCTTCCTCCCCCGTGTTTCTTTCGTGCGGGGCAGTGACGCCCAGACGGAGTTGGGACGCTGGAGGAATTGGCCCGGAACTCCTGGACGTCAGGAACGGTATTGGGAGGCGTGTTCCAAGGAAAAGGCTGAGTGAGGCCCTGGGAGTGGGGACAGCATGCCGGAGGCAGGTGACAATGAGCACTCTCCTCACCAGGCAGGTTCTCTATCAATCCACGAAAGATCTCACGCTGCTCTAGAATAAAGACCATTTATGCCCTTTCTGAACGGTAGAGCACCGTGGATGAGAGACTCCTCCAGGCTACCCAGACACACAGCTAGGCTGGACAGGTGGCCACGTGCAGGTGAGCTGTTCAGCAGAGCCTGGGGAAGGGGGAGGCAGGTGGACAAATGACCAAGCTGAGGCTGGAGGGGTGGGCAAGGACTGACCACAGGTGCTGGGCAGGGAGACTAGATGAATGTTCTAGACAGGTATTATGGTGACCCAAAAGGATTCAGGATCAAACCTCAAAATAAATGTGATGTTTTATAAAATTCACAGTTCCCATAATCACTTCAGACACTTCGCTGTCACATAAGTCACTTCCCCCATCCCTTCCCTCCCCTTCCTTTCCCTCCCCTCCCCTCCCCTCCCCTCCCCTTCCCTTCCCTTCCCTTCCCTGTTGTTGCCACTCGGGCAGCAACACACACCCCTCTGGTTGTGATGCTTATTGGGGAGGTCACATATACCCAACTCTGAGCTATCTGGACTCGTAAGTTCCTTGTTTTTATATTTAGGCCACACCAGGCCATGCTCAGGGGTTACTCATGGCTCTACTCAAGAGTTACTCCTGGTGGTGCTCAGGTGGGGGACTGAACCCGTCAGCTGAGTGCAAGGCAAATGCCCTACGTGCTGTACCACTACACTAACCCCAAGTTCTTAAACATGATGCTTTGACCACATGCCTGCTCTGTCTTACTCAACAGGTTCTGTCCACTCTGCTTATAAACCCAGAGCATTCGCTGCTCTTTCGCCATCAAAGTGCCCTAGGTCAGACAGCCTGGGTGCAGAGGGACCCTATTAGAAGAAGGGAGATGGATCAGGGCCTGCAGTGCAGGAGGAGGTCCCGTGAAGAGGGTCATGATCCTTCCATGGTGATGGGTGGAGGGCAAGAAAGCTGATAGGAAGCAGAATCCACCAGGTGGAGTGATTCTGCAGAGGTGCAGTGCCCCATTGAGTCAAGGTCTCTGAATCTACTGCCCTGGACCCCTGGGCATCCCTTCCCAGTCCCCATATGAGTCCATGTCACTATATGTAGGGCTTATACCTCGCCTGGAACCTCAGTTCGGTTTTAGGCAATGCTGGTCCCCCAACTAGATGGGAGCAGCTGATTCTGTCTGCTGGCCTCATTCAGTAACAGCAAATCCTTTCAGTTTAGTGGGGAAGGGGAGAGCTCTGTTCTTCATCTGCAGTGCCTGCTCTCCCAGGGGCGACATAGATGGACAATCATTTCCAAAGGCAGAATGACAGCAGCATCGAGGCCTGCCAACTCCTTGGAAGGGCAGTGGAAGTTGGGGTGACTGCCTGAGAGGGAATTTCCCAAACTAGATAGAATGATATCAACCAATAGGTTTACCCAGTCACCTGCAACTCTGTCACTATGGGGAAATAACATCTGAGCTGTTTCTCATCTATTGTCAGACAGGGAATGGATAGGAGGCCTGTAATGGAGATTCAGTGGGATTGTAGATAGAACACCTGGTACTGTGACTGACAAGAGGACATAGAAGTACTCAATAGATGTTAGTGTGTGTGGTTCCGGGAATGGAACATGTGATAACACATGTAAAGCAAGTGTTGTACTATTGATCTATATCCTTATCCCATGTTACTCTCATTTGGGGCTGCCACACTGATGGACAATAGGTGTAGGATCCAATCTGGGTCTCCTGCTTGCAAAGCATACCCTCCAGCCCTGAGCCATCTCCCTGGCTATTATTACTGCATCATTCAAGGTCCAGGAACTGACATCCATCCTCGACCATACCAGGCACCAAATCTGCATTACTTACTTAACATCTACATCACAGGATTGGCATTTAAACTTTTCTTGGCATCCCTGTATTTCGTAGATGGTCTTGAGTTCAGATATTATTTAATGAAAATACACTTTCTGCAGATTCATCAACTAGCTGAGCTTCAAGGGAAAGACTGTGAGAAAAGCCTGAATTACCTGATAAGAAAATCCAAGTGACCATAATCCTAACTGAAAAGATGCTTTTGCTGCCAGGTCTGGAAGGAAAGAGCAGATTTCGATGAATTCAGGGGAAATATTGAGCCTTTCTTTCAGAATCCATCAGGCTGCATATCCCTTTTAATTTAGGTATTTGGCATCCAAGTTTTGGCAAATGTGCATCCATCCAAATTTCCCTAATCCTAAAGAGTATGGCTTAATGACTAATAATGCAGGTGTCTGAATGTCCCAAGCTCCATTTTCCAGCCCAATAGCCACTGGAATTAGTTAATATTTGGCCACTCTACCTTCTGGAAAACCATTTAGGCGGCTATAGGAAATAGGAGTGCAGACTTGAATAGAGTCAGGAATTCGAGTCAATGTATGCTTTTGCCTCTTGTTTAATCTGTATCCTCCCACAAAATCCTTTTTAGGGGGTGGTGTCAGGAACTGAACCCAGGTTTCATGCATGCAAGGGTAAACACTCTACGCTGACCTGATACCAAACCACTCTGTCCAGTTATAAAAATATAAGCTAGACTTGATCAGCAATTTGCTTCCACCTCTGAAATTCTATCACTTAGGAACAATTTCTTTGTACCTAAACTGTGGAAAACTGGCTGCTTTTTGAAAAAAAAAAAAAAATCCAGGGTCGTTGTATCTTGTTTTGTTTTTGGGTCACATCCTGCAGTGCTCGGGATTTGCTTCTGGCTCTGCACTCAGGGATCACTGAGTACTCAGGAGACCATATAGGGTGCTACTGCATGCCAGGCAAGTGTCCTACCTATTGTACTACTGCTCTGGTGCTTTTAAAAAAATTTTTAACATACAAATTTTACACATTGGTATTTGTTTCATCACATAACATTAGCTTGATTTTCTTTGTTGCCTTGTTAAATTAACATGCAAAAATAAGAAAAAATCTAGTAACTTATCTAATAAGGTATTCTGTATATCTTTTGATTTGTAATGTATTTTTAAGTACTCAAACACAACCATACATCAGGCAACAAATGATATATAATGGTTAATAAGAAAAATCAGAAAATACAAAATAATTGTTACTGCAAGCAATTTTAATACAAAAGTGTGTCTTGTTTTCAAACAGTTCATTGGTAGAGCTTCAGTTTCTGCCTCAATTAAAACCAATTGAGATAATCACACAGCAACATGGTCGGAGCTGAAGAGGAACAGCAGCTAAAAAACAGGAGCCCCCGAGAGCCCCTCTTCATGGTCACTTGGTCAGTTGACTTTATTACGCACAAAAAAGACGGAAGCAAACGGGACTTGTTAACAAGTGTGCTGGTGAGCTTCTTTAAAGGATGAACAAGTGTGTTTGTGTCAGGTCCACATTTTCAGTATAGGCTCGTGGAATTCATTCCTCAGTTTGTGGGAAGTTGATCAATCATTGAAATAAATAGCAAAAAATGCAGATAAACAAATCTGTAATTCACGAAACCACCAAGCAGTCTCCCCTTGCCAAGGATCTGGGTCCCCATGAGCACAGAGTTATTGGTGGCTGGGCTGGATAGGAAGTTATAAAGCAGGACTTTTAAAAACCCCAATGTTCGGACGTTTTCTTAACAGTTACATTTACCCCTGAATTCTAGCAGCTAGTTGTCCTTTAAACACCCAGTACTGAAACAGTATTCAAAGACAGTATTGCAATGAACCCCTTTTGTTATATCATGTGCAAACATTACCTAGATGAGGTTCTCTTTCTTCAGCTAAAACCACACAACATTAAAAACAATGGAAAAAGCAATTAGAGGGTGCTTTCCCCTCAGTTCTTGCTAACTGAAGTGTCTGTGATTTATAAAAGAAGTTCCTTAAAACACTGCAGGAGTTTTTTTTTTTTTTTTTAATATAATTTATCTTGCTGAGATAGCAAGTCAAGTTTATAAAGAAGATGCATTTAGGAATAATCCTAAAAGATAAAGCAGGTTTACACCCTGCACCGCGCAGAAACCCTATTTAGAGGCTTTCCCCCCCCTTAATACACATTTGTATTTTGACCTTTATCTTCCTCAAATATTTCATTTCTGGACCCCATCCATTACAGGGTTACCAGGAGGCAAATTTTATCTACATAAATATTCACATGAAAATAGTAACTTACAAAAAGAAAAAAAAATAAGGCAGCTTCATAACACAATTATTCTTTTACACTTTTAACAATATAACGTCTCCTGTTCAGAATAAATATACACCCAATGTATGGAGCAGGATTCAAAGTGGATAGAGGTTTGGGGGGGCGCTTATACAGTGTTATCGCTTGGGACCTGGAGTCCTCGGGGAGGCAGTGGTGGTCTTCTTGGACATGGTTGGGATTTTGGAAGGCTTGTTAAGCCCTCTCCGGGAACTGCCCTGGCCCCCTGCAGCGCTGCTTTCTGAAGTGTCTGAACAAGCAGACTGTGTCTCCAACAGATCGAAGTCAGAGGCATCGCTTCCTCGCCGGCTGCTGGCTCGACTCCCGGCGCGACTCCCGGCCCGACTCCCAGGGCGACTGGCTGACTTTTTAGGATCTGGAAGTAAAAAATGAAGTAGTAGTCTAATAGCAGAAAGTGTGGCCTGAGGCTGGGTTTTGATCCTAATACCACTTGCTATATTGTGTGACCTGAGCAAATTAGAGCTTTTCTAGATCCATCTTTTCATATGATTCACTGATCCCTATTCCTCTGTAATCTGATTTGAGAATCCTACCTTGAGCAGAATTCTCAACCCAATCCTCAGCGGTGACCGCATGTGCACCCTCAATGAACCAAACTGGCTGCTCTGTGGCCTTGGCCCTGATGAGAGAGCCTGGCAGCAGAGCCAAAGCTTGGGCATAATGGGAGTAGGTGCAAAATGATGGAAACAGGGCCAGGACATGAAGCCAAATACCCAGGCTCCCACAATGATATCGACAGGTGAACTGACCTGATCCTTCCCTGCTTTTCCTAGCTTACTACCAATGCTAGTAAGTGTGGGGCATCGGAAGATGTAATTAATCGCAGAGGACCACCAGCAGAGTACCACTGGGTGGGCTTTCGAGGAAGGTCCTGCTTCAGGTCATCTTTTCTTTCCTTTACATTCTTTCAAGTAAAATATTTCTGACCCAGAAAAGGCCAGCTGGGTTAGGCAGTGGAAGCCTCTGCACTCATAAAGCAAAGTCAGAGCTAGTTGTAGGAGAGGAGAAAAGTGAGGCCAGCCTGCAGGTCTCTCAGTCTAGATCTAAGACCTACTCTTAGCCTTTGCTCCTTAGGGAGCAGTTGAAGCCGTGGTCATAGGCTGCTGTTTCCTAATTCTTATTCTTCATTCCTTTTTTGCTCTTTATTCCTTCCTCTTCACTCCTCATCCTAATGCGTAGGAAGTGGGACGGGGGCTGGGGATGTAGTTCAGTGGTGAAGATCAAGCCCCGCATGTGTAAGACTTGGGTTCAATCCTTAGACACATATAAATTCATATTCTCTCTCTCTTCTTAGACACATAAATATTCTCTCTCTCTCTCTCTCTCTCTCTCTCTCTCTCTCTCTCTCTCTCTCTCTCACACACACACACACACACACACACACTTTCTCTCTCACAAGTCGGGAGAGGCAGCACCAAAGACTACTGCACATGTTCTGTGTAAAGGAGACTGGAGTTCCATCGTGGTACACGGTTACCTTACACCTTAGCCCTGTCAGGAGCAACTCCTAGCCCTAAAAGCATTCCAACCACTAACCTGGGAGTAGCACTTGAGTTCTGTTGGATGTGGCCTGCAAATAAAAGGAGGTGAAAGAAGATTAGTACTTACCTGCCCGATTAGTTTTGGCACCTGTGGAGGCTGGGGAGGAACTATTGCTAGTATCACCAGCAAGGGATGTTCGACTAGAATGAAAGGTTGGTGTTGGTCGTTTCAACTTGCTACCTGTTGATGGAATAACCTTTAAAAAACAAAAAAGATTCATATCACCTTGGTAAATCTGATAGAAATTCAATTTTAAGAGACTAATCTCTTAATCTCTAATTAAAGGTAAAGGTAAATGCCCTCCCGTTGATCGTCGATTTGCTCGAGCGGGCCCAGTAACGTCTCCATTGGAGACTTTGTTGTTACTGTGTCTGGCATATCGAATACTCTCAGTAGCTTGCCGGGCTCTCCGAGAGGGGCGGAGGAATCGAACTCGGGTCGGCCATGTTGGCCGCTTGTAAGGCGAACGCCCTACCCGCTGTGCTATCGCTCCAGCCCAATCTCTAATTGCGTGCATTTATCAGATCAAATCTCTAATTAAAAAGCAAATTAAAAGTCCAAGAAAACAAATATTAATTTTGATACTTCTCAAAATAAAGATTTTATCTTCCAATTTGAAAGTTGAAAATATTTTCCAATAGCTTTTCACTGATAAATTTTTACAAAAAAATGAGGGAACAAAATACCCTCAAAGAGGAAGACTATATTGGTTGGACTAACAGAAATACCGTATGTGAGTAAAGGAAGAAAAATCCAGTTAATCCCATTTATCAAAGTCTAGTGGTTAGAAATTAGATATATACATTCTAACCTCAAATATTTTAATTTTTTTTCTTGTTTTGTTTTTAGCAGTGTAAAGGTTTACTCTTGGGTCTCACTCAGGGATCACTCCTGGCAGGGCTCGGGGGACCAAATGGGGTACTGGGTACGGAACCGAGATCTGCCACATGAAAGCAAACACCCTACCTGCTGTACTATCTCTTCAGACCCCCAAATATTTAATATGGAATATTAGTATTTAATATGAAAATATAAATATTACTCTAATCTCTCTTTCCCAAGCAGGTTTAAAACTTCAGTTGAGATCTTTCATATCCTCAGCACCCAGATTAAAGCTTTTCTGGAAGAGAGGGTCAGTAAAAATTTGAGGGGCTGGAGAGACAATACGGTGGTTACGGAGCTTGTCTTGCATGTAGACAACCCCAGCACTGCATATAGTCCCCTGAGTATTACCCCAGTGATCCCAGAATGCAGCACCAGGAGTAAGTCCTGTGCATGCTGAGTGTGGCCCAAACAACACAACTTGTTGGATGACCAAATGATGTATAAAAGCATATCCTAAACTGGAAAAGAGCCAGAAACATGTACATTATCATTATTACTGCTATTGGCAGGATCTACGTTTTCTATTTGAGTATGTGTATGTGGCTTTTCTTTTTTTTTTTTGTGATAATGGTAGACAAGTAAAAAAATTAAAAAAATATATATTCTTTGAATTTCACTCATGGTACTGTACAAGTAAAATTCTTCCTGAAACCAATTGTGTACATTGTTTTCCAGGACCTTTAATATAATATATAAACAGAAGAGTAAAAAAAAAACATTTTAGAAGTTTCTTGTATTTCTTTAAGTTATAAAGAACTCGGACAACGCGACAGAAATTGATTAACATTCAAGCAAAAACCCTCCTGGCCCACACAGGAGGAAGAGCACCAGTTTCAGAAGATTTTGACTGTGAGCATGAGATTGTGAGATTTTGATTGAGATCCCAGGCTTGGAGTCTATACCAGGACAGCAATCAATAAGGAAAGATGAAACCTCAGAGAAACACAAGGTAAAAATCTTAAGATTAAAAAAGAAAAACCCAAAACCAGGCTAATCGATCAGAATCCTATGAGAATTGGCATTTCATAATGAAAACATTTAAAATTTTAAAACTTTGGAAACTTTCATGAAACTGGAGCCACTGAGCAAGAAGAAAGGCAAGATAAGCAGGTTGAATCTTGGGGTTTTAGTGGAGGTAAGTCTCCACAGATCATGTTCCAAACCATTAATTTTCTGAATTGTATTTTAATGTGGAATGGAATGAAGCCCCAAGCAGCAGTTTATTTGCAGGCATTGGCTTCTTGTACCTCCCACTTTCTCTGGCTCAAGTTTCAAATGACTGAATCTTGTACTATCTTTTGAGGTACAAGAACCCAATGTTTTTCAGCATGAATTAGAATACAAATTGTACTGCTATTAGACAAGACGCTATAGTCCATGTTTCATTTCTGAAACACTGCTCTTCCAAAAGTGCTTAGGCAATTTTAATGACTGCACTTGAACATGCTTAATTATTGGTGTGTGTATTTAAATCAAGGATAGAGAAACCCAAGTGCTCAGGCCAAGACATTCAGAAATGAAAATCTGAAGCTCATTATAGTGGTCACCAACAATGTGCTGAAGTAGGCAGCACCCACACCTCATCCCAACTACCCTGGAGCTGAGGATCAGAGCAGGACACCAGTCATTTTTCTGTTCTAAGCAAAGATGGAATACCACTGAACATGCATCATAGTTGAATTTCAAGTGTTCATAACTCGTCTGCTATCTGATGTTTGGAGACTCTAAGAGGCCTGGTTATAAACAGTCTCAGTAAACAAATCATCAGGAATGATCGGTGTTTATCATCCTGAACAAATATCATCTTAAAGATGGTTACACAATTCAATTTTGGGGTTAGTTCTCTTATATGTCTCCAATTTTGGTGAATTCGAGTTAGAAACCCCTGAAAAACATCTGATTAGCCGAGTCAGCTGTGAGAGCAAGCACCATAAAGATAGAAAAGAACAGGGATTCGTGTCTGGAGAAGTAGCTGGTCAAGTTCTAGGCAAGAGCAAGGGCCTTGTCTTGACTCTGTCCTTAATGAGCAAAGTCATACTCTACCTCGGGGCTGGGCAGCTGGAGGTCAGGATAGTGGCTGTCCCTGACAGGGGTGCCAGCTTTACTGTTTATCAACCAGGGTTTGTCATAACAGCGAGAGAACTGAAGTGGAGTCTGTGAAATGGAAATCCAAAGGGAAGGGCAGGAACAATTGAAAATGGAACAACAGAAAGGGAGCAAATTGAGAACATAAAAAAATAAATAGGAGACACTAAATTTTAAAGAAACAGAAAACAAAATAAAATGTGTATCAGTCCAACAGGATGAAAGAGACCACACGGGAAGATGATAGCATTCTTCATACGTGACCCACTGTAGCAACAAGCTTATCTGTTAGCTCCAGCTGTACAACTAGTGCCTGGATTTTCAGAGTTCTTCACTCTGGATGAGCTCAAACTGGGAATATGTAGAAATAAGCACTTCTGACTTAATGACCTGAATACAGTTTAATAAATATCCTCTGCAATGGTCATAAAGGTCCTGAATGTGTTTGCTACCAGGACCTGGCTGTGTGCTCTAGGCAGATCCTGGTCTGTCTTTATGTTCCTTTCCTCACTGGATATTTTGCCAACTACCCTGAAAAAGAAAGCTGCAAAGATGGAAACAGGGAAGAAGACTTAATGGATACAAGTACAAACCTTGGTGCCACTGGCTGGGGTGGCTGGAGAAGATGGCATGGAAGTACAGCTGTGGTTGCTCTGACTAGCACTTGAGCTGGAGCGCGTAGGGGAGGCTGCCCGGGAAGATGGCTTGGACCTTCGACCCCGTGATCGGAAGGGGGTCATTGCCTGAGATGCTCCCTCTGGCAGGATGAATTTCTCTCTAAGTTCGATGTTAGTTCTACCTCGTGCTATAAAGACAATAAACATACACAAGATATCAATCTAATATATACTTATATTGAAAAGTCATACACTTGCTTGACCCCATGATAACAGTTTCACAGTTAAATGCTTAGTGCTATTTGCACATTGTTTTAAAGGGGATGAATTCATGATTTAATCAGCCTTGTTATGATTCTTACCCATAGCAGACACATCAACTCATAAGTACCGGAGTGTGCTACAGAAAGGGTAAGAATCACCCGCTTCTGTTTTTTATGGTTTCTCCTGGACAGTGTTCCTGGGGTAAGCACTGCAACAGCCATAAATTTTGGGGGTTAATTAGAGCCCCCCCCCCCCTTTCTCTTGGGATTCATAAGTCTTTTGGGCTCAACTTTAACAGGACATATGGTAATGGAATAGTGGGAAAAAACCCATAGTTGAAATCAACATTGTTCAACTCCTTTATATGAATTCAGATGTTAATAACCACAAAGGAAAGGGTTCAGGGAACTCTTACGTCAGTAAAATGATCAGGATGGAATGAAAAAGTAGTACAAATGTGGGAGGGGTAGAGAGGGGAAAGAAGGGGGAACAGAGGGAGAGTATGAGTGCTCACGCTCAAGACTGTGCAAAACACTTGCCAATGAGCAGCTGTGAAGTAAAAATCTGAAAGCTGTTAGAAGCCCAAGAGACATCTACCTGTAAGTAGGAGATCATAGGGTGGAAGGAAACTGAAAGCAGCACTGAAGGTCAGTCAGTTCTGTCCTGGGGCCTTCTGATGCAATCAAACCACAACCTAACATCTGGATTTGGTCAGAAGATACTAAGAATGGCCAAGACATGTTACGTGTGAAAGATACTAACTTAAAAGAAAGAATTCCTCTGGTTATCGTCCTATGATACTTCACAATGAAAAATATTAGCCTGCAATAACCTTACTTCCTCAATCATCCTAAATTGTTCACATTTCTGAATGCAGTGTATTATTACTACTATTATTTTTATTTAAGCACTAGGGAATAAATCCAAGGTCTCACACATAAAAAACAAATGCTCTAACTGAGCTACATTCCTAGCCCTACTGGGCAGACCTAAACAAACAGGGCTTCTTCCGGTGAATCCTGGGAAAAGGAAACCTTACAAATATTTACATTCTATTATTTCCTTCCCCTTCAGGCACCCCAGCAATGTTGGTGACACCAGGGTTACACCTGGTGTTGCCTGAGAGGCTGTGAAGTACAAGGGGTTGAATCTGGGCCTTGTGCATGCTGGGCACGCACTCTAACACTCTATGTTGCTGGCCCTTATCATTTTCATTTTGGCATTTGGGTCACACATGTGCTCAGGGCTTATGCCTGGCTGTGCTCAGGGATCATTCCTGGCAGTGTTCAGAGGATTTACATGGCTCCTGGGATCTACCAGAAATTAGCCACATACAAGGCTATACTATTATATATACTACACTATTAGTGTATGTGTGTGTATGCAAAAATACCCTAGGAGCATTCCTCTATGCTCTATATGCCTTGTTTGATTTCAATAAGCTGCAAAGTATTTTAAATTTCATAGCTGTCCAATGGGCTGGAACGATAGCACAGCGGGTAGGACATTTGCCTTGCAAGCAGCCAACATGGCCAACCTGAGTTCGATTCCTCCGCCCCTCTCGGAGAGCCCGGCAAGCTACCGAGAGTATCTCGCCCTCACAGCAAAGCCTGGCAAGCTCCCCGTGACGTATTCGATATGCCAAACACAGTAACAACAAAGTCTCACAATGGAGATGTTACTGGGCCCACTCGAGAAAATCGATGAACAACAGGAGGACAGTGACAGATGTCCAATTAATTCAACTATTCATGATGATTTTTAATTTGCTTGTAATTTTTTTTTTTTTTGTGAGGACCATGTGTACAGGGCTTAGGGGCTAATATAAGGTACCAGATGCAAGACAAATTCCTTATCTCTTTACAATCTCTCTGGTCCCATTCAAAACTAAATATAATGATGTGTTAAACTATTTGGTAAAAAAAAATTTTTTTTTTGTGGGGGGAGTTTACAACACGCAGTGCTTAGGGCTTACTCTGGGTTCTACACTCAGGAATCACTCCTACATTGCTGTGGGGGGACCATAGGTGGTACTGGGGATTGAATCTGGGTTGGCTATGTGGCAAATGCTCTGTCTGCTGTACTATCTAACTGGCCCTCCTGCAAAAAAATTTTTGTGCACATCTAAGGTGGTATTGGGACATTTCCTCAGGACAAAAAATTTTGGGGAGAGAAAGGACGCACATAGTTTTTGATGAATGTCACTAATGTCCAAAATCATACCAACATATGCTTTCAAAATAATGTACGAGTATACTCATTTACTTCACACTGTCTAGTGCTCAGTGAGTTAAAAGGTAGAGCCCAAGAGGCCAGGGAGATATGGGGCATATATTCTGCTGAGTTCTGCTACAGTGATCTCTGAGCAGAGTCAGGTATACACCATGAATGAACACTGCTGGGTTTGCCCTCCCTCCCACAAACAAAAATTAAATCAAAAGTCTTTAACAATGTAATTTTCTAGGATTTTTTTTCTCTCTAGGAGTGCTCTGGGTTTACTCCTGGTGACATTTAGTTCTGTAGTGCTGGGGACCCGAAAAGGCAGCACGTGCAGTGACCAAGGCTAAAACTCTCTAGTATTTTGTGAATTCTTCAGTATAATATTCTCTATAGTTCCAGGGAGTCAAAAAAATAAAATGAATGAATAAAACAATCTATCTCAGTGGTGCGTTGATAAGTCACAGTAATCTTCAAATACCTTATAGTGTCAGGGAACCTTTTTTCTTTTCAATGTTCATACTTTTCCAAGTCACTCATTACATCTACCCCAGCCTGCAAGCATTCACCTCCTAGCACAGTTTTTTTTTTTTTTTTGCTTTTTGGGTCACACCCGGCAATGCACAGGGGTCACTCCTGGCTCTGCGCTCAGGAATTACTCCTGACGGTGCTCGGGGGACCATATGGGATGCTGGGAATCGAACCCGGGTCGCCCGCGTGCAAGGCAAACACCCTACCCGCTGTGCTATCGCTCCAGCCCCCCAGCACAGTTTTTGATCTGACTGACTGAAAGGGGATTACCCTGTCTGTCCCTAGACTGCTGGGGAGTTCCTGACTCTGTAATCAATGGAATGAGATGATTATTGGGGCTCTGGGAGGGCACTTCTGAAAAGGCACAGAGGAAAGCCTTACCTTGTTTGCTCCAGGGATGCTGGAAAAGCCTACTATGTTCCACAGAAAATAGCTCCTGGATAGCCCTCCCAATTCTTTGGGTTTCCAATTTTTAAATATCAAGATAAAAACAAAGCAAGCAGTATTCTCCTTGGCCAGCAGTATAATTTCATTGAAAATAAGAGCAAGTAGAGCAGGCAGCAGACAGGCAACCAGGTATTCCGAACGGTCACATGCACTATCCCTTCTATTTTTTTTTCCCCATAGAGGCCACGCCCAGCAGTGCTGGGGAGAGAGAGGGCAGGGCGATCCCCAGCGATGCTCAGTCTGGCAGTGTGGAGGTGATAAGTGCCCAGGCTGGCAGTGTTCAGGAGGGCCATGCAATGCCAAGATCAGACTCAGGGTCAGCACATGCTAGGCATGTGCTCTATCTACCATCTCCATCACCTGAGTTATATTTCCCAATTATATCTTCTAAATTCTATACAACAAGAAAGGTAAGACCCTTATTAACTGATTTAGAAAGGAAAATGGCGTTTTGAGGGGGCTGGTCAGGGCACACCCGGCAGTGCTCAGGACCTACTGGCTCTATACTCTGGGATCATTCTTGGAAGAGTTCAGGAAACCATATGGGGTGCTGGAGATGGAGCCAGGTCAGTCACATGCTGGAAAATGCCTGAGTGATTATCTATAATCTATCACTCTTCATTTATTTTATGTTCCAGGGCCACACCCTATGGTATCTAGGGGACCTTGTGGTGCCTGAGACTTGAACCTGGGGCATCTGGGTGTGCACCAAAGCATGCCCCACATCTTTGAACCAGTTCCCTGGTCCCTATTCCTTGATTATAATGAAAAAGGACTTTTAAATCAAGGAAACTGGTTTATAATAAAACTCTGAGTCAATTAAACGCTTTCAAGTTTTATCAGAACAGGTGATCTCAAAATTGACTCTATCTTTCTATCTGGATCAAAGCTAGCACCTCACAGAAGCAGCTAACTGTTCTATTGCTCAACTACATCTCCAGTTAAAAATGAACTATTTTCTATTTTTATTTTTTGTTCTATTTTTGTCCACACCCGGTGAGGCTCAGGGTTTACTCCTGGCTCTGTGCTCAGGATCACTCTTGACTGATTCAGGGGACTATATAGGGTGCTGAGGATTAAACCTGGGTCAACCGCATGCAAGGCAAGTGCCCTACCTGCTATGCTACTTCTCTGTCCCCAAATTAATTTTTTTTTTTTTAAAAGATAGAACTCCTCATGAAAACTATTACTGTGGTTTGTTACAGTGCATTCAGAATGAGCTGAAATCAGAGGAACTATTTATGGACATATCTGAATGAATGTGAGAAACGTACCCCCTTTAGTCTGTCCTCTAAATGCTTCAGACTATGATTATAAATCACTTCCAAATAAGTTATGTAACTGTACTCTAAACATTTCTGCTAGATTTATAAATAAATCTTAATAATTGAGTTATGCAGGCAGAAACAGAAACACATGGTGGGCATGTTGGGGGGTATGTTTGATTCCAAGATACACAGCACAGTGGTTTAAAGAACATACTCTAGAACCGGACTGCTTTGGATTTTAATCCTGATTCTGTCATTAGCCGTCTGTCCTTGGGCAAGTTATTTAAAATTTTTATGCTTCAATTTCATATTCTGCAAAATGGAGATAATAATAGTATCTAACTGTGATAGAGGTATAAAGGTGTTATTTGAAAAGTATTTACAATAATGTGTGGCACACAAAGTGCTATTTAGAAGAACTTATTAAAGAAACAGAAATTCAGAAAAAAATTCCATGGGTCCTGTCTTAGGAGGAGTATTTTAACTGTCAACTTATAATTATTAGAAAGTTATGGTTTGGCTGTTTCCAAGTATCCATATTAAGGCAGCAGATACCGAGAGACAGGAGAAGCTATTGTTTAAGAAGCAAAGCCATTCTCAATGGGCTAGGGCGTGGGTAACAGGAACAAAGCTTAAAAGCCAACCTATGGGAGACTGACTGGAAATCGAAGAGCTGGAATCAGAGCGCTTTATTTTAGTCCCGGGATGGTGAACTAGAATAAAAAATATATAAACACAAGAAACAGAGAGAGCAGGAACGCAGAAACTGGTCAAGAGAGAAACTGGCAGACAAAGGGGGAGCCTCCTGTATATCCACATGCAGGTCTGCTAACAGGAGAAAGGAAAGGGAGTTGTGGAAAAGGATTTAGCAGAGGGTCACAGAGGTAATCCTCACACTCTAGCTGCAGGGCCACCACTCAGACTGAGCATAACACTCTTCTCTGCCAGAGCACTGGCATGCCAGCCTTTTTGTGTTTAGCAGAGAGATACCACCTTGTCTTCTTGCGTGATTATCTGTCTTAAGAAATGTGTGGGCCCCTGCTAGGGATCCTTTATACTCCCACCTGGTTACGAGAGCTTCCCAGTCCCTTTCTGCATGGGAGGGGACAGCCCTCCCTGTGTCTCAGGGACAGGTCTCTAAAGAAACCCCGAGCACTGACTGGAACCCTAAAGGGTTTCTTGGGTCCCTTTCTAATAAACGCAAACACAAAACATTCAATGACACTGTGACTTCCTATTTTCCCTGCAGCATTCCCCTAAGAGCATAAACCTTTCCCGGGTTTTCTTGCTGGTACCAAGATCTAATTTGGCTAGTGGGACATCTGAGCAGCTTAACTGAACAGCAGACCCCACCACCACCACTTTCTGTGGCATCAAAGAGCTATGGTGAGGGTGTATCCGCCATGGAACACATGTTCAGGATTGTTCCTTACCTCGGCAGGGGTCGTTTTTCACTAAAAATTCATCCAGGGCCATCCATCCTCCACCGACGCGAACCATCACTGTGCTGCGCAGGATGCGGACCAGCCGCAGCTGCTGGGAGTCCCCGAACTGCAGGACCAAGGGAGACTGATGAGTGAGGATGCCTTAGAGCATACAGAGGCTTCTTTCTAGAGCAGACTGTATTCAGAGCGAATGACAATGTGGTAGTCTGGGGAGAACTTTTATCCCCAATCTGCACTTTTTCACGAAGAATTTAAAATATGGAAAAATCAAAAATAGTATCAAGCGAAAGACCGGTGTCTTGCTTTGCTTTCCATTGGGATGAAGCTACTCTTCGACGGCCACATCAAAAGGGCAGGATGTAGGACAGACAGAACCATTAAGGCTTTTGCAATTGAAACTCAATAGTTTTTGTTGTTATGCTAGTTTGTTTCATAAGAGAAAAGGCGAATATAAGATTGATGTCAATTTCTGAATACAGTATGCTCAAAAATGAAAATGAAAAATAGGAGTAACATTCCAAGCTTAAGTAAACCCGTGCAAAGCATCATCATTCTTATAAGTTAGAAGAATATTTGATTTTCCACATCAGATTTTCAGAAAAGAAATCCTTAGTATTCCCTAATTGTGATAACACCAGCAGAATTTTTTTTTTTTAGCTAAATGATTAGGTAACACATACTAAAATTTTGGTGAAAGAATTAAAATTTTAATTTATAATACTGATTAAACATAGCATTCAACAATCATCTTTGGATGTTAAGGCAACTTTTGTTATTTACTTATCCCTTGCCTTAACATTCCCATTTCTCATCTCTGCTAATATCTGTAGTTTTCCATTATGTGAAATAGCCATTTTTCCAAAATAGAGCATGGGGTAACAAAAAAGAATCATGACAAGATCAGAAAAAAATAAAATCAGACATTTGGAGAAACAGAATTTCTAAAATTTGAATCAAGGAAAATGTTTGTGGGAGAGGGGGAAGAGAGAATCACATAATTAGGATTTTCAAAGTTACAAGAAGTGTAACTTTGAAAAAGGCATAAAAATTGAAAATGCCAGAAAGGGTGTTTGAAGACATAAAACCAACCTCCTTTAAATTAATGTATTTGTGGCAATTCTGCATATCATTTGGCACTGACTCAAGTGCAACTTTTTATATAGGCAAGGTGGCTGAAAAATTTCACCCCCTCCCCAGTCCTTTACTTTGAAAGTCAAACAGGCCGAGATCTTTCATCTCATAGAGCTGTTAAGTTTCTACTGAAGTGGCTACAGCAAAAGCACCGCGTGGAATAAAGAGCACTGAAGTGGGGACCAGAGGTGTGAGAGAAGAAAGTCCTGTCCTGGGAAGGAAGCTGCCCCTTTGGCCTCTGAGGCAGTCACTCTCAGATGCTGGTTTCTGTGAGTGAAAAAGAGGAGTCCCTAGGGAGGAATCAAGGATTCTGCTAGTGTCAATGGCAGTGACGGGCTACATGCCATTTGGGATTTTCTCTGGAGCAACGAGATAAAGAAAAAAAGGGCCCATCTCATCTCCCAAAACTTCAAGATATACTATAAACTTCCATTTACTGTAATCTATGACTCATTAGCTTTTAATGTGAATTACTTCATTTATTACTATTTCTTCCTTCTGAGTTTCTTACGAAAGCTCTCTCTCAGAGATTTTAACTTGTTTCTGGTGAGCTATGGGGAGAGGGAGGTTTGGTCCACACCAGGAGCCAAAGTGGCAAAGGAAGTTGAGGTCAGACTAAGGTGTGGTGGAAGGGGTGACAGTAACTCTAAAAATGGGGGTGTGAGCAAACTTGGCAGAGCTGGGTTGTCAGTAAGGCAGAAACCTCAGTAAAGAGTCTAAAGGGCAATACTCACATCTGTTTCTACCTCCCACAGAAAATCACAGTAGCCTTGGTTCTTACAACAGCTCTGACAAATGGCAGGCATGTGGTCCTTGAGGTAACGGATGCCTCATACGTAAAAGGAACTTCTGACCTTTTCAGAGGCCATGCCCAGCTATGCTCAGGGCTTCCTCCTAGTGGTGCTCTAGGGACCAAAGGTGGGGATGAAATTTGGGCCAGCAGTGTGCAAGGCAGGTGCCTTATGTGCTATACTCTCTCTCTCTCTCTCTCTCTCTCTCTCTCTCTCTCTCTCTGGCTCTAAAACAAACTTCTATTTCCAACACTGGAACGAACTCATCTGACAATGTTTATCAATGGAGCACAAGAAGAGGATGTCAGCACCTCTTCAAAGGCCAGGCAGGGATGTAGCTGAGGTGCAGAAAGCTTACCTGCCTTACGTATATGAGGCCTTGGTGAACGTTCAGCCCCAGGCAGTGAAAAACAACAAAAACAAAAATCCCAAATAAAAACAAACAAAACCCAAAGAGCTCTGATACCCTCTTGCAGACATCAGTCAAAAGGCATTTCCTGTAGGTATTACTGGGCACCCTCATGCAATGATATTTTAAATTCGCTGTTTTGCCTTTAATCTCTTTCCCACTGACCCAGAATGTTACTGTAGTTAGTGATAACTGAGTGACTGGAACTGAGTGAAAATAAACTCTTATGTGTTTTAGACTCTTCTGTGTCCTAACAGGTTTTATTCATGCAACTTCCTTCCATCTGAAGACACAGGACCCCAGAACCCTCTAAAAAGATCTAAAAGGTTAGTGTTGCCAAGTGGAGTCAAAAGCATTCAATCTCTTTTTATATGTCTAAATTGAATCCCACTCCAGTTTAGCTGGCTGGCATGGACAGCAAATTTAAGCCTATGGTCAATGTTGAGTCCAACACTATACTTATCTGGTATCTTATAATTATAAATCAGGTCATAATTATAAAATATAAATACAAGTTGCTGTATATATTAGTGTATTTAGTATCCCAGGAACTTGTGACTTAAACGTAATATTTGTGCTGACTATTAAAAGGTTTTGGTATAAACCAGAAACTGCACAATCTGCTATCCTGACTTCTAACATTGAAGTCTAAGTCCAAGTTCTGTTGAGCAGTGGGATGGTTTGATAAGCAGAACTTCAATTTCCCATTTCTTATTGCTTATAACTCAATCCAGCTTGATATCACTATGTGTAGCCATATAATTTTGAACAAGAAAATTCACCTCCTTAAAATAATAAAACAAGATCTTTTGTCCTTATGATGCTAAGATAGCTTTATAATGCTAGTCCAATTGGCCATTTCTCCACTTGGTAACATAACCAGATGTGGCCCATGCATGCTTCAGATGATGTCCTTTCCCCAGAGCACAGAACAGGCAGCATTAGCTACACAGACCATTTCCACCGAGAAGGGGAATGTTGCAAGTCACACTGTACCTGGTTGCCGAGGAAGAACTATAGACAGTAATAAGAAAGGATGAAGGAGACAGAAGAGAGAGAGAAAAAGAACATTTTGTCAAATTAATACTGAAAAATGAAAATTATGCATTCATGTTACCAGTCTTCAAGTATGGTGACACATACTGACTACTCCATTAAGCTCTTGACATGGGAACACGATTTTATAAACGAAGACCTAACTTTTCTACTCTCTTCTGCCCTGCTAACTAATCTCTCTCATAGGAATTTTTTTTCCCTCTCTCATAGGAGTTTGAAAAAGCAACAAGAAAACAAAATCTAAGAAGCAAAAAATTATTTGGAACTTGATTATCTAAATATCCTATGTTGGACCAGGGTAGAGTCATCGTACAATTTTCTTGTTTGTTTATGGGCCACACCTGGCATGCTCAAGGGTTACATCTGGCCCTGTATTCAGGATAACACCTGGCAGTGCTCAGGGGACCATATGGGATGCCGGGAATCAACCCAGGCCAGCTGTGTGCAAGAAATACCCTACCCACTTTGGCCTCTCATTGTGCATTCTTAAGCGACAGCAGCAAAGTGTGCCTTTGGTGTATCCTGAAAGCACTTCCGGTGTACTCCCTAACATGGGTTTTCTTGTTTCTCATTTATACACGTAACAGTGCAGCTGGACTTTTGTTTTTTTTTTAAATCTTTCTTGCCAATCCTAGATTTTCCTTAGGTCTTTAGGAAATCCTGAATATACTTTAGGATTTAGCTGCTGAAGAGAAACTCTTTTTTCAGACCCTATTATACCCTAAGCATGGTCCCCTACCCCAGAGCTAAAATAGTACAGTTCCCTGTGCTATTCTATTCCATACACTCAAGGAATTCTAGGGAAAGTTACTGAGTGTGGTATCATCCTGGGTATCCAGGCCCAGACTGTAGCCTAGGTCAGAAGAAACTCAGGACCTCTGAGTCTTGACACAGTTCCAGCAATCCTCTCTAAGCCTGGGAGTGACCAGCTGTGCTAGAAATTAAAAAGAGACTACAGTCATCCAGATATGGCATTGTTTTTCAGACCAAACTATGGGGATGGGGAGCACTATTCTTAGTTTGTTGTTTGGCATCTGTAGAGAGGAGGGCTGGAAAACTCAGGCTCCAACAGTCTCGGTCCTTAAAGCAGTGGCAGAAGGAAGGCGGAATTGGTAAGTTGGCCTCTTCAGTTTTCTTTTACCTGTAAGGGTCACCTGTGAGGAAGATCACCACGAAAAACTCATTTTCTTTTCCTTACCCGGTATTTATTTTCTCCAATCTGCTCCACTTGAAACCTTTTTGCACATTTGCACTGAGCCACTTGTCTTGTGACCTATTGGTTGTAAACAGTGAAAATGTGTGAGAAGTGAAGAGGATTCCTCTTTTGAGAAAAAAAGATTTCTACAGGAAAACAGAGAAAGCTTTTCCTTATATAACTTTTAGACCTTTGAGGCTTTTGACACATGCATTTATCTTCTGAACTAAAACATGCTGTTATTACTGGTATATTTGAGATACCGAGAGTGAAGTATGAAATAAATTCCAAAGTTAACTATGAAATACTTTTTTCGTTTTGGGGCCACACCCTGCGGTGCTCAGGGTTTACTCCTGGTTCAGAGCTCAGGGGTCACTCCTGGAGGACTCAGGGAGCCATATGGATGCTGGGGATCAAACCTGGGTCAGCCGTATGCAAAGCAAGCAGCTTACCCACTAAACATTGTTGCACTCAAAATTCCTTCAGGGACATGTGCTAATGTAACTCATCAAAATCAACTGTCAAAGAAGGCTTATTGTGAATGAATCTGAAGTTCAAGCTAAAAGCCCTAAGTTTCCTGGAAATAAACCCTGGGGTGTTTCAGCGCGCCTAAGACCTGCTCACTGCTTTCCCACCTTAGAATGAACAGATCCAGGAATCTCAAAGCTACTGATAAATTTACCATTTTCAATGCGTTGTTTGAGGAGAAAGTCTGATGGAAACACACTACCTTAAACAATACTTTACACATTTCACCCCTTAATTTTTATATCTGAGTACAATATCCCTGGATTACCTCCCATTCCCCCTGGTATGTTGTTTTGGCCATACCAGGCAATGCTGAGGGGTTACTCCTGATAGTGCTTAGAATCACCAGGATCAAACCCAAGTTGGTGACATGCTTGGCTACAAGTGCCCTACCTGTTGTACTATCACTTGGGCCCCAGCATCTCTGGATTTTGAGGGACAAAGGTCAGGAACAAGAGAGCAGTTTGCTTTAAGCAGCATGGTATCTTTGAACTAGAATGCATGTATGGAGGGCTGGAGTGATAGTAGATTAGGGAGGACGTTTGTCTTGCATGCAACTGACCTGGATTTGATCCCCAGCATCCCACATGGTCTGCTGAGCACTGCCAGGATTAGTTCCTGAGTGCAGAGCCAGGAGTGACCCCTGAGCATTGCTGGGTGTGACCCCAAAAATAAAAAAATAAATAAACTCTTAAAAAAAATTCATGTGTAAGGTTCTCTGTAAACTTTACAGAGTAAAGAATTAATTTAAACTGACCCAGAGAACTCAACAGTCTGAGATCCTCTAGGACAGGCAATACCATCCAAACAGGGATCCTAAACATAGCGCAGAAACAGTTACTTCCCAAGGGTTAAGTCACGGCTGATACGATAATTGTACCTCAGCTAGACTTAGGAAAGTAGGAATCTATGATCAGAAATGTACTCAAACAATGTTTTCTGTACCTCATCCTCAATTTTGTCGGCATCTGTGGTTGGTCGATAAGCATCCTTGTTGGGATGGAGAGCAGCTACAAATTCATAGTAATCAATGTAGCCATCCCCATCTCTGTCAAAAATGTCTGCAACAGCAGTCATCTCTAGCTTCGTGGTAGGGAACTCTAGAGAAAAAGAACATTTGGGAACATTAAAACTGCTTACATAGTTGCTTGGGGTTACACAAATACTATTGAAAAACTTTTATTTTCTTGATTTTCCCCTGAAAAACAAAATATATCTATTTTAGGAAGTGTTTTAAAATATAAAAAGCACACCAGAAGACAACACCGAATGACCTGTAGCTGTTAAGCAGCGACAGGGATTGAACATGGGCTCCTGCATGCAAAGGATGCTTTACATGTATTCAAAATATTGAGTTGTCTTTCTGGCCCCAGAACTCGTATTGTAAACATTTTACTTATAATCTACTCACAAGTTAGCTTTCTTTTCTATATATACCTCAAACATCTTTTGTCTGACATATCTTCAAAGGATAGCTTTTATTTTAGTTCTCAGAAAAATGATGTTCTTCTCTCCATCAAAGTAATAGATCAATTTTAGTTTTGGTTTTTTTTTTTTGTTACTCCCCAACCCCCATCTGACAGTGCTCAGAGGCTATTCCCAGCTCAGTGTTTAGGGCTTTCTGCCTGCAGTACTATGAGGACCATGTGGTACCAGGAATCAAATCTTCAATTCCCACATACAAAGCATGTGGTATTCCAGTTCTCTGAGCCATTTCCCCAAACAGTCTGATTTTGGTAAGCAGCTACATTACTTGTTCCCTAAGACTATCACTTTTAGCTCAGAGGGCTTATTTATAAAGGATATTACCAGCTTCTCTACATAGTGAGTGCATAGAATCTAAGTGTGTGCCCTGTTTGGAACCACGGCTTCACTCACTGGATGCTAGGATGCCATCGATAAACTCCTGACGTGTTATCTTCCCGTCTTGGTCCTTGTCAATTCGCCGGAAGAAATCCATCACCCGAGATTTTTTGTGATTCATCCAACGCATATACTTTTTCCTCCAGACATCAAAGTCAAAGTTGGCAAATTCCTTCAACTGCAGAGAAATCCAGAGGTGTCAACAAGACCTATCGTTTTGTCCTTCAAATCTGCCCAGAGAACAAAAACTTCCAGACGTTCAGTAAAGCCATGCAGGCCTTTGGGAAGCATACCAACAAGGATAAGTGTGTGGCCTCTTGTGAAGTCATGCTCTTGCTCCTCCATTTAAAGCCAAGTTTAATTCCCACAAGCAGTGGGAGAAACCATAACTAAGCAACTTCCATAGGAAAACCAGAGCCCACGGAACAAGAGGAGGGAAGGCAGCCTTACTTTCCCTCTGCACTTTTCCATGTAAGGGAATGGACTCCACCCCAGGAGAGTAGTCCTTGGCACTCCTCACTTACTGTGATTTTGAAAGAAACTATGATCACGTATAGGACTATTCCAGGAGGCTCATGTATTTTAGAATGAGATTATTTCACTTTTGGCTGGAAACATTAAGAATTCAACCCTGCACGTGAGCACGTTTCTTTGAAAAGTCACTGTCTGATTTCTGTGGTAAATGCTTGGCCTTGACAAATAAAAGGAAGCTTGCTGAAGCAGGCAAGGCAATGTTTAGCTACTATGGACCATGTCAGTGATTCAGACTAAGCATGAATTCCACAGCAGTTTTCCCCCCGGTCTTTCCAACTCTGAAGACAGAAGGAATGGGAGGAAAAAGAAAAAGCCCAAACCAAACTTGAGACTTAACTGACCTACAGAAAAAACAAAAACATAGAACACTCACTTTCAGGAATAGCTGCTTTGATGTGCACAAATTTAAAAAATATAAATGATATTAAAGATTTGTTCTAGAAACTAGCAAGGGTATTATGATTTTTAGACTAATCACACTTCATATTAGACTTGTTTTTCATAAGGTAGAGAAAACTCATAGAATAACAAGATCACAAAGATTCTTACAATTGTATATCTTATATCATTATAAGAGCATAGTAATGGTCATTTTATTTGTTTTGGGACCACCTCTGGCAGCGCTCAGGGATCACTCCTGGCTCTGTGCTCAGGTATCACTCCCTGGCTAGACTCAGGGGACCATATGGAACGCTGGGGATCAAACCCGTACCCGCCACATGTAAGGAAAGCATCCTACTTTGGCCTACAATGGCCATTTTACAATAAGATACATACTTGGGAGGAATTTGGAAAGTCATGCTCTTGATTCTGACCGTACTCAGAGGCAGAGGAGGACTGGGTCTCAGGCTGGACCCTCAGAAACTGGCTGGTTGCTGGCTTCCAGCTACTATGGCTGATTTTGTATGTTTTTCTTTTTTTCTTAAGGGATCTGAATTACAGATTATGCCTCAGAAGGACAATCTTTGAATAAAACATTGCTTCCTCCTAAAGAAAGATGCTTTGTGGAACATTACCTCCTCTAACCTATCCAAGGCATCGTTCAGCTTCCGCTGCCGCTCCAGTGCCAACAGCCACACCTGCTGCCAGCGAGCTGAAAGCTGATTGATCCGTGGGTTCTTCGCTTCAGACTGTGAAAGGATTGGCATGGGTGGAGGTGCGGGTTGATTCAAGGCCTTCCCTAAAAGGAAATATAAACATGAAATTAGAATAAAGGTGGATTTTTTTTCTGTTCACAAAGAGAAATGGTCATCTATGTATAAAATTAGGAGAACTTTACTATATTATCTAGTCAGTAAAAGACCCGACAGGACCTGGCAGTGCTGAGACATGGGACCATGCACTTTCAAAACTGTTGGTCCTCTTCCCCAGGTAACAGGAAATGCTTTAATCTATCTTTAATCAGTTTGGTCTTATCCTCAGTTAGCTGAGAAAATGTCAATTCAAAAAATGCAAAGGTCCATAGGAACTGATTCATAATTTCATTAGTAGAAGCCAAATGTTAATAGGCAGCACAGACAAAACAATGAAAAGGCCACTGCAAAAGAATTTGCCTCGCCACCTTGCAATTTCCTAACATTCCAAGAAAATGGGGTACAGTCTGTCAGTATTTTTTTGAAAGTGGAAAGTGGAAAATTTCTGAGAGGCACTTGGAAAGTGTCCATCTTCAATCAGCAGAACAAGCCTTCTAAAAGAGTGGGCTGGAAACATACTGCTTCCACTGCGGGACTTCTCGATGAATGGTGCATGGGGAGGCTCTATGTTTTTCCTTTTGTATGTCTTGGTGACACGGTCCACATCAGGTTGTTTGCGCGTCATCTCCTCCATAAATGTCTGTGGAGCAATAGGAAAAAGAGTTGAGCTTTTCCATAGTCCAGGACAGAATCAGTCAAGTTCCTACTAGCCAAGGTAGGCCCATGAGAGATACACTAAATGACAGAAACCTATACACAACTGATCTCCTCCCAAGAAATAAGACAGAACAAGTCACTTTATCAGGATTTGGGAACCTGAAGGAGTAAGACACGACACCTGACTTTAATAAGTGCACAACTAAATAAAGAAAACTGGTGCTAGAGCGATGATAGCACAGCGGGTAAGGTGTTTGCCCTCCATGCGGCCAACCTGGGTTCGATTCCCAGCATTCCATATGGTCCCCTGAGCACTGCCAGGAGTAATTCCTTAGTGTATGAGCCAAGAGTAACCCCTGTGCATCACCGGGTGTGACCCAAAAAGCAAAATAAAAAAAATTTAGATGTCAGAGCAATGAGTATTACACAGGGTGGCAAAGGAAGACTTAGGACAGCACTCACTGTTGAAGGTGGCAGGGAGTTGACTAGAAATTGGATATGGAGCTGAGCACTGAGACTGGAGTCTCAGTGATGGCATGGGGCAGGAAGACCCAAGGATGTCTAGCAATCAGAGGTGTTACAAAGAAGGCTGGAGAGGTTTCAAAATCTCAGAAAGTCCCCAAATCAGGATGAGGGGCTGGGATTTTATTCTGAGAACAATGGCACAACAAAAGAATTCTAATACGGAAAAGGGAGACAATCAGATTTCTATTTAGAGCTAGTCTTGGTTTTGGTGTAGAAAGCAGAAAGTTTTGTAAGAGCAATTAGCACTGGGAGTCAAGTTAAGAAAAAAACTGCAGAACATACAAAAGAATCGAGGAACTGAGCAGCTTGCTGCAGAGATGCCTCTGGACTTTGCCATAGGTGGATTTCACTGGGCCAGACGGGAGCAGGTGCTATCCCTCCACCTGCCGCCTAGGAATCCCAGCGGCCGCCATCTTCCAGAACCCAATGAAAATCACAGGTTTCATGGGATGGGTGAGGAGCTGATCCCTCTCATTCTCCCCACCCCGATGGGACTCTGAGATGATGCCCACCAAGTGCTAATGGCTACTACTTAAGCTCCATAATGACGGTGACCCAGAGACACATAAAAGAATCTTGAAACCGAGCAGCTTGCTGCAGGGTTCTCTCCAGACCCTAATTATTAAAATTTTAGAATTTCAGGGGCATATGCTATTCATGGGCTGGAGTGATAGCACAGTAGGTAGGGCATTTGCCATGCACGTGGCTGACCTGGGTTCGATTCCTCTGCCCCTCTCGAAGAGTCTGGCAAGCTACCCACGACGTAATTGATATGTAAAACTGAGTAACAAGTCTCACAATGGAGACGGTACTGGGCCTGCTCGAGTGGATCGATGAACAACGAGAGGGCAGTGCTACAGTGCTATGCTATTCATAACAAGCAATACAAAATAAACTGTCTAGCATTGCTTTTTCAGCAGGTTCGAATGGTGGTGGAAAAATTGCAAATAATAATGGTGGGATTGGTGTTGAAAGATTGAATGTAATTAGAGAGAGTATTGTGGAGATTGTCTACCACACAAAGGGGTGGGATTTGGGGTGGGGGGGATACTGGGGACTTTGGTGGTGGAAAATGTGCACTGGTGAAGGGATGCGTGTTTTATCATTGTATGACCAAAACTCCACCAAGAGTCTCCTGCCCCTGCGCCTGGCTGTTCCTCGCTGGGGTCCCTTGGAGGGGAGCGGGTTGAGCTTTCCTCCCCGCCCCGACCGGGGCTCTGGCAGCCGAAGACCTCCAGGACCAGCCACCACCACGCTGAGACCACTCTCCGCACACATGAAGGTACTGGCAGAGGGACAAAGCCACGCGGGTTCCGGGGCCGAGTCCTCCAAGCCTACTCGAATTGGAGTCGAGCATCTTCCACCCAGATCCTCCAAATTCCAGTAGGCGGGGGTCACACCCACCACCTGGCCCCCTGGCGCCGTGTAATCCCATCAGCGGCCAAGACTCAGAGACTATAAAATCCAGCTCCCGGAACCGTGCGGCCGCATTTGCGGCCGCGCGACATCTTATCACAACATCTTTTTATGATATTTTATTATCTCATTCCTACTTTGGACAAACTTGCAGGCTATCGAATATAGCCTGCCCACAGGGCAGAGTCTGGCAAACTCCCCGTGGCGCACCAAATATGCCAAATACCAGTAACAATGATGGGTCTCTTCTCCTAAAGAGCCTTGAATATAATCTCAGGGCTAGGATGAAAGAGACGTTACTGGGGCCTGCTCGAGGCAATCGACGAATAACAGGATGATGAAATGAAATGAAAATGAAATGACCAAAACTCAAATGTGAAAGCTTTGTAACTATATCTCATGGCGATTCAGTTAAAAAAAAAAAAAAAAGAAAGAAAACTGCAGAGACTCAGCAGTGACTTCTGGAAGACAGCAGCTCCCTGGAGATTTCTCTGGAACCAGCACCAAGCCCCTATCACAGGGGCAGCTCAGATGGAGCAGGTGTTCCCTCTCCGCCTCCTCCAAATGAACCCCCGGTGGCCACAAACTTCCGAAGAAAAACCCATACCCTTGGTATGCGGGACCGAGGACTGAAGACTCCAGACTATGTGGTGGTGGGGACGGGCCGTCCCCTCCTGTCTTCCCACCCTTTTGGGGTCCTGGCTGTCATGCCCACAAACTACCTGCAGGTGTCTTTTAAGTGCGTCAACGGCCTTAATACAGAGACTCACAACTGAATTTCAGAATGGATCAGCTACCTACAGAGATGTCTCCGGACTCCAATCATTTACAATTTTCGAATTCCAGGAGTGCGCGGCTGCTTTTGTGACCACATTGACCACTCATGGTATTCATAATAAGCAATAGAAAATAAATTATCTAGCATCTGCCTGTAGCAGGCAGTTTTGAGTGGTGGTGGGAAAATTAGAAATAATGGTGGTGGGAAAGTGTAATGGTGGTGGAACTGGTGTTGAAATATTGAATGTAATCAGTTAATGTGAACAACCTTATGAAAATAAAATTTAAAAATTATAAAAAAGAAAGAAAAAAAAGAAAAAACTGCAATAACTGAGGTAAGACATGGTGACAGCTGGGGTAAGGGCAGAAGAGAAAGAGACATATTTTAAAAGGAGGACAGATAAGAACAAATGATTGGTTAGAATTGGGGGCCTAGGAAAGAGAGGGGTACTAGGCAAATCACAGGCTTCTGTTTTGGGTGATTAGTGGGTAAGGGGAAAGGAGGCAGGTTTGAAAGGAAGAGATGGGGTCAGCCAGGAAGACAAGGATAAAGGAACTAAAGTCTGAAGGCTGTCTCTCCTTAATTTTTTTGCTTTTTGAGGTACACCCAAAGATACTTCGGGGACCATTTGGGATGCCAGGGATTGAACGCAGGTTGGTTGTGTGCAAGGCAAGCGCCTTATCTGCTGCACTATATCTCTGGCCCTAGCTGTCTCTCCTGTAGAGCTGATCTAAACTTTAGGAGACCATGATGTTGACGAGGAAGGAAAGGTCAAAGAGACAGGAGGAAAATGGACAAAATAAATGTTTTAAATTTAAATTAAAAAATAAAATAGAACCATACTGGGTATTTCTTGGGTGAGGGTCAAGGCTGAGGGGGCAGCAGGGATGACTAAGCAGTGCTGGGGATTAAACCAAGGTTCCAGTTAAGTGCATGCATTAGTCTATTGAGCTAGCTCCCTAACTATAAGAAGAGTTTTTGAGAAAGAAAGGAAAAGAAAGAGTCAACTATGTCACAGGGCAAATAAAGTATAATAAACATCAGTTGGAGTTTATCAGAGTGATGGAGCTGGGATAGCTGTCACTGAGCTGATGGGGATGGTAGTCAGATTACAGGGGCCTGAGGGCTGGCTGGGAAACTTGGAGAAGATAGGGAACAAGTGGTTTGGCAGAGAAAGGAAAAAGGGCCCCTGCAAGGAGTGTGTGGTCAGTAACTCCCAAAGAACTAAGTTGAAACTATTATGTACAGACGTTCTGCAGGAAAGAGCAAACATAATGGGGAACTTAAAGAGAAGAAAGAGAAGCCATGAGAGAAGGGAGAGGGACTGGACGTGTATCAGAAGGCAACACTTCAGCAGGGAAGGTCACTGTCACTGTCCTCCCATTGTTCATCGATTTTCTCGAGTGGGCCCAGTAACATCTCCATCGTGAGACTTTGTTGTTACTGTGTTTGGCATATCGAATACGCCATGGGGAGCTTGCCAGGCTTTGCCGTGCGGGAGAGATACTCTCGGTAGCTTGTCGGGCTCTCCGAGTGGGGTGGAGGAATCGAACTCGGGTCGGCCATGTTGACTGCGTGGAAGGCAAAGGCCCTACCTGCTGTGCTACCGCTCCAGCCCCCAGCGGGGAAGGTGTCCAATAGATTTGATAAGAAAGGTAAATGCGCACTTGCTAGGCAAACTGCTTATATAAATATTGAAAGACAGCATGTCAGGCTGGAGAAGTAGCACAGGGGTTAAGGAACTGGACTGGTTTGATCCCAGTACCACATGGTCCTCAAATATCACTGGTGCAGCTCTGGAGGCCGACTTCTCAGATGGTGGCAGGATTTCGATTCCTGGTGTGCATACCCTGTATAATCAATCCCCTTTCCTTGAGTGTAGGCAACACCTGAGTAAAGGCTGGGACAGCCATGAGGTCTGTCAGAGCTGGCAGGAGTTTCTACTGCCAGCTGAGAAGACTTCAGCTGCTCTGTTGTGAGAGTACCAGGTGGTCATGAGTATGGCCTTGATAGGCTGATGGCTGGCTCCAAGAGGAGGACCCATGGAGCTAAATGCCTGCTCCATGGAAACTGTAAGACAGGAAGTGTGTTTTAAGCTGATAAATCTGTGAGAATATAGTCAGCAGCAACTGGGAAATGAATACTCAGGGCTGAAGATGCAGCTCAGTGTTATGATACACGCTTTGCACCTAGGAGGTCCGAGGTCGAATCCCTGGCAACACAAGCGTATGTGCACACATACAAAGAATACACGGGGCAAAGAAAGTTGTTACACACATATACACTGAAAACTCGGGACAAAAAGGGTGGGGTGCTCTAGGGGCAACACAGCAAATGCCAGTGCCAACTTAATGCAGTGGAGTTACCTGATGCTCAGCAATAAGGGCTTTAACTCGGTCAATGTTCTGAGGAATGGGCTCCTGATCTCGCTGAATGAGGGTGGTCTCAGCCCACTGGATCCATGCCAGAAGTTCTTCCAAGAGCTCGGCATTAGCCACCAATTCTGACAGGGCAGTTTCGAGACGCTGCTGGTGTTGCTTGGCCCATGTCAAGACCTGGAAAAGAGAAAATCATTTTTTTTCAGTCACTTCTTTTATTCAAGCACATTCTTGCTACCCAAGTTCTTACTCTAATGGAATTTTTAAATGGATTCTAACAATGATGTTCTATGGGAAAGACCGTCCAAGGGTCTAGCAGCTTCACTCTTTTTCAGTAGGAGTTGGAATAAGAAATCAGCTCTCCTGAAAGCAAACATAGAGAATGCCCTAATAGACATGGGGATTCATAGGAAGGGGAGAAGAACATGTAGTATAGTCATTGAAAGTAATAATGAACACATCATAATGTTTAGTCTTTAGATTTCCGCATCCAAGGAGAATACAGTTAGGACTATAATGTTAACTTAATTCTGGAGATGTTCATGACGAATAAAAGATTTCTATTTGAAAACAAAGAAAGTATTACTTTAGTGCTATCAACCCAAATGTCAGGTACATGTATTCTCCAAAACCAGGAAGTCACCCACCTCTTCAAAGCGGGCTCGAATGATGGTGATCCAGTGTTTGATGGTGGTAATGCAATCAGGATGGCAGACAGCCAAGATTACTTCTCCCATAGCTACTGCTGCATTAACATCCACTCGCTTTTCTTCCACTTTCTTCATGAATTCCTAAACAATATGAATTTGAAAACAACAATTTAAGAAATCTAATCTAGCAGCACTTCTTAGTTCACAGTGAGGGGAAAAATAATTCCAGTATATCTTTACCTCCTAGTATTTTGGTACACACACCTCTATGAGCCTGCACCCAGGTGTCTCTGGAATCTTTTCCTTGTAGTGTGAGACAAAGAAAGGTTCACATAAGAGTACCTTTCTCTGCTGGGATAACAAACGTCGAGGGACACCCATGTATGCCTCTTTTTCAATGGCTAGGCATGGCATTTTTTTAGATTCTGAATTAAGTTTCTCTCTTCTAAAGAAAACTTCTGATTCTAAGGGTTGGAGATGTAGCTCAGTGGTAAAGTACATCCTAGCATATAAGAAACTTATGATTTAATCACTGGGATCCATCTCCCAAATCCTGATTTTAATCATTTCTATATGTGCAAACAGTATTGTCTTAGACAAATGACAGGCATGGCATCTTATGATACTTATAAAACTCATGTGACAGAATGACCAAGATTAAAGTCTCCCAGCAGGAAACACAAGATTCAAAAAGAAAACATTCCCCACACTGTCAGGCAGCTGGACTGAGGTGCCAGAGACTGCCTTGTCTATCTTGCAGCATGGTAAGCAATTCCAGGGTGGAAAATTGGGGCATAAAGCTGGTAATATAGAAAAAGAGAAACCAAGTACTTAGGGTGAGGAGTAAAGGTGTGTGTCAGAGCCATGTCGTGCTTAGTACCATGTTGTTTAACAAGTTCACAATGAATGTATAGGTTTTTTTTTTTAATTTATTTTTTTGGGTCATATATGGTGATATTCAGGGTTACACCTGACTCTGCACTCAGAAATTATTCCTGGCAGTTCTTGGAGGGCCATATGGAATCAAGGGGATTAAACCTGGATTGGCTGCATGCAAGGCAAATGCCCTACCTGCTGAACTATTGCTCTGGCCCCGTATAGTGTTTCTGTAAAAACAAATGAATGATCTTTAAGGTATCGTAAAAATGTAATTCCCTCTCATTCTTGCTAAACCAGCAAACTGGGCCCATTTTGATCCTGCTACTTTTCACATGGGGTCTGATGTTTCTACTCAAAAGCTGCTTTCCTTGAGCCCACACCGCTTGGTCCGTGGCATGGGTCACTGTTACTTGGAGCTGGATTACCTTATGGGTGTCTATGAGAGACTGCAGGGCTTCAGTGTCATCAGGAAGTGCTCCTCGAAAGCGAAGAGTTTGCTCTGCTTCAGAAAGCCACTCTAACAGCATGTGGACTGTATCCCGAAACTCTTCTGCCTGAAATAACCAAGTATGAAAGAGTGAACCCAGAGCTTTCTGCAGCGAAGGTCCTATATTCTGGGATATGCCATGAGATGGAGTTTGACCTGAACTTATAGGCCTTTAACAACCCCACCAAATCAAGGTTATCTTTCATTTGTACAACTCTGAGAACCAACTGAAGTCATTTTCTAATAATTCCTGTAGGACATTCAAAATATGTTTCACAGTTAAATTCAGAACTGGCTGGATCTGACTCTAACAAAGAAACCAGAATTAATCTGCTCCAACCATCCACCTTTTGCTGTTCTAGTAAGCATCACTCACCTGTTTTAAGGCCTGCTCTAGTCGGCTTTGTTTAGAGACAGAGAGTTTACACACGGTATCCCAGCGAGTACTCAGTTCCTGGAGCTGGCCTTTCACCCAAGTGGTATCATCACGGCTATTCTCAACCAGCTCTCGGCCTGAACGCTTTAGCACCTGAACCGTTCCTGTTCGCTTTCCCAGTTCCTTTTGGAAAACCTAGGAAAGAAAACAGAATTAGTTCATCTGAGAACTGTACTTGAATCCAAAAAGATGTAAAACCACAAAGAAAGTGAACATTTGGCTCAGTTTTTCTTTTTTGGGGGGGTACCACACCCGGTGATACTCAGGCTTTCCTCTTGGCTCTGTGCTCAGGAACCACTCCTGCCAGTGCTTGCGGGACAAGTTACATGGGATGCCAAGGATTGAACCCAGGTTGGTCATGTGCAAGGCAATCGCCCTACCCACTGCATTATTTCTCCAGCTCTGATTTAATTTTTCTTCATAGTTCCTATTATGTGTCTTTTAAACCGAGGGATGTAGGACAATGTAAAGAATGACCAGGAGAAATGGCTCCAACAAGGTGAACAGTGGGGCTCTCCATTTTTCCTACATGTAAGTGGGAATAATGTTACAATAACATTTCCAGTATTATGGGAAATATATATGAATATAACTGCCACGCACATAAACATGACTGATACAATTTCAAAGTAGAGTTGAATATTTTGTGCTGAAGTTTGACAGGTTCTGGATAAACTAAATATTGGTGTGCATAGTGTTGGGTTTGCTAAGTTTAAAAGCGGTTGAAAAAGTACTCATTTCTATTTTGGGAGCTAGTGGAAATGGATATTTGAGGGTCTTCTGAAGTTAAATCCATCTCATGACTCAACCAAAACACATAAACAGGAAAGGGGGGTGTTTGAGAGGAACTCAAAGTGAAATTTACACATCGCCAAGCCTGAATCAAACCAGTGTTGGTAAATTCTTTGGGACTGACACAGAATCCCAACAAGTTTGTTTAAACACTCAGATCAGGGACCTCCTCCCTGACAAGTAGGGACACTGTCTGTTCGATTTCCTTCCGGCCCCACGCGGCCAGCCTGAGCAAAGGCATGCAGAGGTAGCTGGCCCCACATTTGCCCTCTGTACAGTCCTGATTTCACACTTCACCTTATGGGCATCCATGAGGTTCATGACCAAATCAAGGTCCCCATGCACGGGCTGGTCCTCAGCCAGCTGTGGCTCCACCTTGTACAGCCAGTCGACCAAAGCCTGCAGAGCATCCATGAACTGGCCTGAAAACAGCAGGGCCTCTTCTAACTTGTGCTGCCTGAAACACACAAACAAACATCATTGTTTTCACAGATATTTTTCTTCGGTGAATGGCCCCAGTTCTGTTTTTCTGATACATTTGGCAGTGCTTAGGGCTTCTGTGTTCAGGGATCTCATGTGGTGGGGGTCAGGGGACCACAGAGTGCCAGGGATTGAGCCCAGGTTGGGAACGTGGAAGGCAAGTGCTTACCTACTTAAAGATAGTAAGTAAGAGATAGTAAGGCCTCCCGTTGATCGTCGATTTGCTCAGGCGGGCCCAGTAACGTCTCCATTGGCGACTTTGTTGTTACTGTGTCTGGCATATCGAATACTCGGTATCTTTCTGGCTTAGGCCTCAATTCTGACTACTGAAAGGAAACACTCCTCGGTGCTACATGACAAGGTTCCCATGTTGGAAATGAAAGTGACCAAGAGAGATACCTAGTTTTTTTTTTTTTTTAAATTCAAATCACTAATCAGAGTGGATTAAGAGTAGCGGAGGAGAGAGAAACAGAGGCCCTTCTGGCATCTTAGAGGCCAATGGTTAATAAGATGGGTACACCCTACTGATCCATGGTCTGTGTTAATTTACCACTTGTCCAGGAGAAGATGATGGTTCTAAATAATGGTCTAGAATTAAGAGTTTAATTCTTAGCTCTAAACTAGTTTTGTGATCCTGGGCTGTCTCTTTACCTCTCTAAACCTCAGTAGCTTCATTTGAAGAGCTATAGAACAAATAGACACCGTAGAACTTTGTGGAATGTAGTTAAGTAACAAGTCTCACAATTTGTTGTTACTGGTGCCCGCTTGAGCAAATCGATGAACAACAGGAGGGCAGTGCAGTGGGTAAAAATGGGAAAAGTACAACTTTTAGAAACAGTTCCCTTCAAATCCCAGCTCTGCGATTCAGTAGCAAAGTGACCATGGCATAGTGAAGAAGCCTCTGTGTTTCCCTTTCTATCTCTCCGGCCCTCTTCGGATTGTCTCCTTATCTATATAAAGGGAGTAACAGTTTCCACTCAGTGATCTTCATGGAACTAGGGACTATCTGGCCTGCAAAACACTGATCAGTAAAGGCTAGGTATCAAGAAGGCGACGTGAGGCAACATCTGCAGAGGCTCTGGTAGAGTCCAACACATCATGACGACACTCAGCTATTACAAGCTGGTTGTTTATAGATATTTAGACTTCCCAATTTCCTATTAGTGTTGGCTCGGCTTCATGAGCCTCAATCTAATATAGCAAGTTTAAAGTTTAAAATGAGAGAAATTTATTTCATTTTATTCAAATTATTTTGTAGCTTTTATTAAACTAACTGGATGTTCCGGGATGCTATAAAACCTCTTATTGAGACATAGCTTTATTTCTATTGGGTGGAATCCAGTCTCGTAGCTCTACGATACAACTACAAACCTATGAAAGGGAGACTTATACTCACCTCTCCACAGACTTGCCACAAACAGTGTCCCATTTGTCTCTGACTTCTCCCAGTAAGTTGTCAAGTTTCTGAGTGTCATCAGGAAGCAAAGTCTTTTCTTTCAGTGCCCTGCCTGTTCTAATTGTGGTATCATACACAGGTTGTTTGCCACCAAGGGTTTTCTGAAACTCCTATTTCCAAAAGAGAAAAGAAAATAAAAAGTGTTGACACTGACCTTTCCCATGGCCCCCCTTCAAGATCAGGAAACATCTTTTTGGGGGGTAAGGGCCACACCTGGTGATGCTCAGGGGTTACTTCTGGCTTTGCACTCAGGAATTACTCCTGGTGGTACTGGGGGGAGCATATGGGATGCCGGGAATCAAACCTAGGTCAGTTATGTGCAAGGCAAATGCCCTACCTGCTATACAGGTATCTCCCCAGTTCCCGTCAGGTGACATCTTGATTGAAACAAAAACCAGTTTTGGAGTTTTCATGTTTGTAGCCAGTTTTTAAATAAAATCAACAACAGCTTATCCATATGACGTGAACAAAGTTTTGTTTAGGCCATATATAGTCATGTATGACAATTCCCAAAGGCCTGCAGATTTATAACTGCTTACTTTTGTACTTTGTATGAACTGTTATTTCAAATGAACAGTTGTCACAGTAAGATGGTCATATTGAAATTTTAATACTGATAAGCTCTCTTTGGACTAACTATACACCCTGGTTAGCAAGCCTTATTTAGTAAAAATTAAGTTTAGCACCTGAGATATGGGAACTGCTTTACCTTGTGTTTAGAGAGCTGAAGTTTGATTTTATCTGGATCATTGGATATCTCCAGTTCGGAGTCCAGGTGACTCTCTGCATCTTCAAGCCAGTCAATCAGTTTTTTCCAAGCTTCATGGAACTACAATTACACAAAAAGTTAATTTATAACAGAAATTAATGTGCACACATTTGATGTTTTTATGCAAACCAATCCAAACACTTGCTATCCACGGTTGTTCATCTCTTAGTATCTTTCCTTTATGACTCACTTGTTTTGCCCGCTTTCTGGCATCATCCAGTGATCTCCCTCTTTCAATAGATCGCTGGACAACCTTTTCCCATCGGGACTGGACGCTAACCAACAAGTTCTTGATCAGAACAACATCCTGTTTTTGACTAAGGAACTTTAACTGATTCCCAGTTTGATCAAGTTCAATGATTTGGTCTCGATGAGCGTTTACTTCATTTGCAAAAACCTGAGAGAAAAAAGATATTGCTCTTTTTAAACTTAAGACAAAGAAAAGTAGGATTTCTTTTAACTCAGTTCATTCAAAAGGAAGACAAAATCATACTGTGATAGTCACCTTGTGCTCTTCTATCTGGGAGAGGACAGTGTTGAGAATCAGGCTGGGAGGAGAAGCGATGTTTAAACTCTGCTCTGCTAGGGTGAGCCAGTTGATAAATTCTTGTAGTGAATTCTGGAACTCTGTTGCCAGGTTGAGGGCCTCTTCTAGCTTTGACTGAATTTTAATTAAAACACAGACAAAGAAAAAAAGTGCCAAATTTAAGGAATTGCAGCAGTAAGGACAAAAGCATGAATTGTACTCCAAATGAAATGCATTCTAAAAAGAAGCCTCATTTAATCAACCTGCAAACATGCTTTGTTTGTAAAGAAGGGAGCATTTTAATGTTAGAGTCTGAAAATGAAGCAACTGTGTATGAGAGAGGAAAGAGGATAATATGCAGCTAAGTTTTTTTCTCAGCCATTCCCACTTCCTGGATGTTAAAGAAGAGGAATAAAACTATTCAGCAAGTGTTAAGTGAACAGACTCCTTGGTGGTGACAGCTGCAAGATCTGTAACCTGCTCTGGGCAAAGTCTCAGCTTCCTTTGATGTACTGTTTATGGCATCACAACAACCAGTGAAAAGCAGTTTATAGATGATGTTTGCTACAGTGTTCTTTTAAAATGTTTCCAGAAAATGATAATCGAAAAGGTATGAGTCTGAAACTTACGTGACAAGCAGAATAAAAAAAATAAAATAAGCTATGATAGTCTAAGCAAAAATATGATGCAGAATTTAAATTTTTATATATTTTTTGATCTAAATCAAAACCACAAAAACTGTCTCATTCAGGACACGTGCTACTTCCTATGAGAATGCACTAATTCCACAGTCTACAAGCTTGAATTCCACAGTCTACAGAGACTTTTATTCCTCACATCTATTTGCGCGACTGACTCTTACCCCAGTCTAAATAGAAGAATGACATAGCCTAAAAGTGTTACTTGTTATTACTTGGGCTATACATGATTTCTACTTTCTTCTCTGCTTTCACACTTTCCCTTTTCCTTGTGGGGGAGGGTGCCAACCTAACTGTGCTCAGGGCTTACTACTGGTTCTCTGCTAAGGGATGACTCCTGGTGGTGCTTGGGGACCATATGAGACGCCAGGGATCGAACCAAGGCTGGCCATGTGCAAGGCACCTTACCCACTGTACTACTGCTCCAGCCCTGTTTACTTTCACACATTTAAGAAACCTAAAACAGTACTATAATGAACATTATAAAAATATACAGACCCAACCTAATCAAGTGGGAAAAAGGAAATCAACCTCAAATCATAACAATGAAGTTAGGGAGCTGGGGCAATTGTTCTGTCTCTTGAGGCAACTCATTCTGCTACTGAGAAAAACCTATAGAAAAAAAAATTTTTTTTTTGGGGGGGGAGGTGGAGGGGTCACACCTGGTGATGTGCAGCGGGTCACTCCTGGTTCTACATTCATTAATTACTCCTGGCGGTGCTTGGGGTACCATATGGGATGCCAGGGATTAAACCTGGGCCAGCTGTGTGGAAGGCAAATGCCTTAACTGCTGTACGAGTGCTCTGACCCTTGGAAATTCTTTAGTCAATTCTGTACTGTGCAGAAATTATAGAACTGACCTATCTAAGTAATAATCTATCGAAGATACAGTATATACTCAGGACTTCTGGACTTTTTTTTTTCCCCAGAGAAAAATGACAAGATACCAAGCCAGAAGAATTCCAACACGCGAATTCTTCTCTCAAAATGTTCATTTTCCTGTCAGTATATCTGTCCTTCTGCTCAGAATATTTCATGACATGGTCATGTCTCACTGCTTCATCTATATATTGATTATAGTGCCTGCTCTATAGAAGTTGTACATAGTTGTATAGATTATGGTACATGCTCTATAGAAGTTGGTTGAATGAATGTGACCAACTGATCTGAACACATCTTACACTGATCTTCCCAGCACAGAAACTCTTTGTTACTCTTTGAGCAATACCTGGTGATGCTTGTGGGATAATACAGTGCCAGATATTGAAAGAATTCTAATCCGAAATTCTGTATTCATAACACTCAATGTTTGGGAATCAAATGTCTTGGTTCCTCATCATTTTTCTCTTTAAGAGAATTATATTTTTTGAGAAGAGTAGGTAGAGATAATAAAATCTATCTCTTATTAGTAAATTTCCTTGAATATTATATTTCACTTATACTAGAAACCAAGTTCCTTGGGGGTAAATTATTAATCACATTCCCTGCATGATCTGTCTCCACCCTCTCAATCCCAAGTCACAATCCCAAACCTTTTTTGGGGGGCAGTGTCAGGAATGAAACCCAGGAACTCAGACACGTAAGGTACGTAATCAGTCACTGAGCCACATCCTCAAACCCCCCAAATTATAGGTCAGTGATAAATTGTGAGATATGGGCTGGAGCGATAGCACAGCGGGTAGGGCGTTCGCCTTACAAGCGGCTAACATGGCCGACCCGAGTTCGATTCCTCCGCCCCTCTCGGAGAGCCCGGCAAGCTACTGAGAGTATTCGATATGCCAGACACAGTAACATGGAGTTTATCACCGAGCAAACAGGCAGCAGTATCTTAATTGGAGGATGCAAAAAGGATAAAAGCTGATATTGACAGAAACTAGTATTATCAATGCATCTGTGAATAATGAATAAAAACATGAATAAAAATACAAATAAAAAATACAAATTTAGAAACAGAAAAAATTATTTGATTAACACAAAGCCAATTCTGAGGATATCAGTCCTACAACCTGTTTTTTTTTTTTAAACAACAACAACAACTATAGAAACTAGATAGTAATTACAGGTAATCACTAGAAAAACTACTTAAACACAGTTGTAATCATATTACGAGGTGATACCTTTCTTTCTTCCATTTTGTTGCTGACCACTTGCCACTTCTGCTCCAAGAGTACAACACTCTGCTCTGTCTTAGAGCCAGACCCAGATTCGTCCCGGCTTAGAAGCATAAGCCTGCCCTTATCCAGCAGTTGATTATAAGTTTCTTCCTTGGCTTTGAGCTGTGAATAGAGTTCCTACAAGAAAAGGCAGGAAAAATATCAATAATCCCTACTCCCTGGGAGATACCTACATTCAGATTTAGTATAGCTTTGTACATGCTAACGTGGATTTAATCCCTGGCATCCCAAACAACTCACCAAAGCACCACTAGGAGTAATTCCTGAGTGCAAAGCCAGGAGTAATTCCTGAGTACTTCTGGGTATGCCCCCCTGCCCCCCAACACCGTCAAAACAAACAACCACCCCTACCAACACCATCAAAGCTCCAAAAAACAAATAAGATGTACCAGCAATTTGGAAAGATCCAGCAATGTTTCATCTTTTTTATTTTTTTTTTTGCTTTTTTTAGGTGACACCTGGCAATGCTCAGGGGTTACTCCTGGCTTTGCACTCAGGAATCACTCCTGGCGGTGCTTGGGGGGCCATATGGGATGCTGGAAATTGAACCCAGGTCGGCTGCATGCAAGGCAAATGCCCTACCCGCTGTGCTATTGCTCCAGCCCCCAGCAATCAATGTTTCATCTTGATTAAAACCCTTTCTTCTGGATCTGGTTCAGCAACTGAGGTTTTTTGAGGGAACCCATCACTTTTCTTTTTTTTGATTTTTGGGTCACACCTGGCTTTGCACAGGGGTTACTCCTGGCTCTGCACTCAGGAATTACCCCTGGCGGTGCTCAGGGGACCATATGGGATGCTGGAAATGGAATCCGGGTTGGCCGCGCGCAAGGCAAACGCCCTACCCGCTGTACTATTGCTCCAGCCCCAAAGGGAACCCATCACTTTTAATATTAAAATTATTTTGTTGCTTATTTTTTTTGGGGGGGGGATAGGGATCAGTAATGACAAAAAATAGGCTTTACTAATTTGTTTCCAAACCTTTTTGCTGAGGATTTACCTAAAAACTGTGTTGCCTTTTGTTTTTGGCATATTTTTTCTTCAGTTTTTGGGCTATGGCCCAGCATGCTCAGGGCTTTTTACTCCTCGCTCTGTACTCAGGGACCACATGACAAGATGACAGGAATTGAACTGGGGTTGGCTGCATGCAAAGCAAGCATCTTACCACCCTCTGTTCTGTCTTTCTATGCCTCAGCAAGATTTTGTAAGACAAGATATTCATTGTATTCCACTATACCATTATATTTCCTAAATACTATCACATTTATATTATATATTCATTTTCTAGATGTTCTCACCTTCAACACTCTTAAGCCAATAGATTTTTCAGCTCACCAACGTATTTTTACCCAACGATTCCTTGCTATTCTTAACTGCTAACTTTAGTGAAAAATTAAAAGCCTACATATTCCCAGCAGTTTCCAATGCTGTACTGTATCATTAATGAACATATATAATGAACATAATGTGTATACTTTGTACACACATACATACATAAATTTTCATGAATTTAGAAAGGAGCTACTGAATACGGGATGCCTATGCTGGATATCAAGAAATCTCTATTACCATATGTGTGTCAAGCTGTTCCCTAGCAGTTTCAGGAAGTCCTCCTGTGGGTTTAGATGCTGAAAGTTGGGTCTCCATTCTAGAGAGTTCCAAAAGGAAGTCTTCAATTTCACTGTGGAAACCCTGGGCCTTTGGAAAAAAGACAGCAATGTTACCATCAATTCTCAATTTCAAAAGAAAACTTTCTAAATTATCATAGGAAGAATCTATCTTGGGGGAAGAATTATGGGCTACCCTCAGGAAGTGTTCTGCTGCCGAATTAATATTCATATGCATTTATTGCAGAAACTAGAAGAATTCTTCAAGCCTCAGTGTAGCATATGAACCCCTGATAGAACACAATAAATTGACTGCCTCAGGGATTATTGAATATGTACATGAAGAACTTGACTTGCCAAGAACTGAATCTGTAAAGAAAAGATTTAAGTGAAGCTACACTAACTTTGCAAAATAGGAGACTGTGCTACAGCTAATCCAAGGAAGCACCCAACTAAAAGCTGTTCTCTCCATGAGTTCCAGCACAAAACTGACTGCCCTGTCAATCTGGTGGGTACTATCCCTAACTGTATTTCTCCTACTGACTTAGGCTTTCTTCCGATGATGTTACGAGTGTGCTTAGCTATGTGAGGTATCCGATGTATGTACCTGTTGCAGTGTTGACTGAAGCTGCTGCTCTCTCTCCTCTGTTTTTTGTAACACTGACTCCCAACACTGGTTCATAGTTTCCAAACGGCTTCTTAAACTGCTGGCATCGTCTCCAGCACTAGATTCAAGAAGCTCATTGCCTGCTTTGTTGACTGTTTCCACCGTGGCTTGATGGGCCAAAACATCATTTTTGAGAACCTATAGAATATTGAGCAACATAATTTATTTACAGATATCATCAAACCCAGTTCTCTGAGGTACACTCATAAAAAATGCTCTGGTGGCAATGTTTGGTCTCAAACAAAAAGAAATGAAAAATAAGAAGACTTACATGGTGCTTTGCAAGCTCAACTTCAATGACTTTTGGGTCTCCACTTATTGGTCTCTGAGCATCTAACAACTCTTCAGTATGAGTCAGCCAACTCATTAGCTCCTCTAAGGCATGTTGGAACTGGCCAAGGGCCAAGAGTGCACCTTCCAGCTTATGCTACGCAGATAAGAGACATAAAGAAAATATTAGTTCTGATATTAGAAAACAGGAGACAGTAGTCCATTTATAGCCACCATGGTTTGCCTTACCTGTCTGTGGGCAATTTTCTCACCCAGGTTCTCCCAGAGGTGTTTGAGCTCTGTCAGTGGCTCTCGTATGATGTCCCTATCTGTCTCATCAGTAGCTTTCTTTAGCATCAGTTCACCCTGGTGATTGAGCTTCTCCATTTCAATTTGCTGTTGGTAAACCTCCACTTTAAACTCCTACAAAAGACATGCTTAATGTTAATATTTATGTCAATGTTAAACCAACTACTCCAAAAATTAAAAAGAAGCAATCCTTCTTCAAAAGCCATTCCTAAATACAAACCTTCATTTCATTTAATTGGTCTTTGACAGTGTTGAGGTCAGTGCCGACAGGGGGCATTGTACAGAGTTTAATCACCGTGTTATCTAGCCAGTCAAACATAGCCTAAAACAAACAGATAAACAATCAGAAAACAAAAGCACAAGGATATAGGAGAGAATCAGTGTCATCTCAATGAAGCAGAGATAAATCAAAATCATCTTGCACTGTATATGCTTCTGGGTCAAGGGCCGAGGTAAGGGCAAGATCTTTATTCCACTATTAAAGGGACTGAAGAGACAAAACAGTTTAGTAGATAAGGTTCTAGCCTTGCACACAACCAACCATGGATAAGCCCTGTCACTGCATTTGGTCTCCTGAGCACCATCAAGAATGATTTCCAAGTAGAGCCAGGAGTAAGCCCTGAGCACAACTGGGTATTTCTTCTCCCTTGAGAAAAACAAATACACTCCCCCCCCCCCCCCCCCCGCGATCCTTTGCCAAAAAGCCCCCACAAAAAACCACACAAAAGAAACCCAGGGATTTGAAAGGAAGCAAATGGGGCCAGAAAAACTGCAAGTTGCTTGCAACGCATATGGCTGATCTCAGTTTGATCTCTGGCATTGCATAAGGTCCCCTGAGCACCATAGGAATGATTCCTGAGACAAAGCCAAGAGTAAGTTCTGAGCACTGCCAGGTGAGGTTCCAAAACAAAACCAGAAAAAAGAAGCCAATGAAATTGGGATAATATCCAAAGTAAATTATAATTTAGAAAAAAAATGTATAAATAAAATATCCTGAGAAGTTACTGTGCCAAGTTGTGTTTCAAGATTAATCTGAGATTTGGAACCTCTAGCAAGCAATGACTTTCACAGAAGGTCAGCCTCAATATATGGCCACGGTGAAGATAAATATGATGATCACACAATGGTGAAGATATGGCAGAAGGGTAGAAACGTGGGAGTCACTTTTTTTTCCCTCGCAGGATTTGAGCTAGAAACTTTGGCTGAAAATATAGAAGCAGCACTGTTGTTAGCTCTGAGGATGCTGCGGTCCTATAAAGGTGACCCACTCTTACCTGGATTTAGAAAATGACAGAGAACTCGGACCCTGTCATGGTGGGCGTGCCTCTCACCTGAAGTGTGTCCTGATACTGCACAGCTGCCTGCATGGCATCCTCAAGCTTTTCGATTCTCTCTTTCCATGTTTTGTTTAAGTTCTCCCAGGCATTATTCATCTAGGAGAAAACAATGAGAATCTTCAGTTACTACCTCTCTGCAGTCTGAGTCCCAAATGCCTCATCTGAACTCCTGTCCATTTCTCCGCACCTCATCAATGCTCTTCTTCACTTCAGGCTTCTCAGTTTCTCCACAGGCAAAAATCAAATCTGCTCCAAGGATTCGAATAAACTCCAATTCCTCATGTAGACCATCTGTCTCTTCCTTAATAGTCTACATAGAAATGAACAGAACATAAACCAAAACAGAAATCAGAACAGAACTTTCCAAACTTTGCAAATATAATTTATGCCCCCACCAATAGCAGATGTTGAACAGAGTTAATTTTACAAAAGCCTTTCAATATTCTTAATAGTTCACTTATGTGAAGAATGACGCTTCAGGGCTGGGGAGATAGACAGCTCAAAGGACTGGAGAGCATGCTTTTCCAAGTGGGAGGCGTGGGTTTGATCCTGGCCTTTCATGGTTCCCCAAAAGCACAGCTGGGAGCAACCCCTGTGCAATTAGACAGGAGTACGCCCCCTGAGAACTGCTAGGCATGACCTAAATCCCACTCGGCCAAAAAAGAATGATGCCTTAGATTGCTTGCATATATATGTGTACGTAATTTTATACACAGCAATGTATATGTTAAAAAAAAAACACCAAACAGTCTTGAAAATGTGCAACAAACTAACAATTTACTGAAGGTTCATTTCTTTCCACTCCCAATTTATAATCTACAGTCAGAAGTCTTCTACAGAGAGCAGAACAACAAAAAATGAAATATTTTCATCACAAATTTAGGAGTGGAAAGACTAGCATAATAGGATTACAAGAATACATAATCTTGAAGAAGGTCAGATCCTAAAAAGTAGTTCAAGCACTCTCAATGATACCCCATGTGGTCCCTTCAGCCATACCAGGAGTGATCCTTGAACACACAGCTAGGAGTAAGCCCTGAGCACAGCTGAATGTGGTCCCAAAATAACACACACACACACACACCAAAAAAAAAAAAAAAATTAAACTGGGCTGAGAGCGATAGTTCAAAGGGCTGGAGCAGATGCTTTGCATGCAGAAGACCTGGGTTCAATCCTTGGCACTGCTATGATTCAAGTACAGAACTGGGGGGAGTACACACTGCCGGATGTGAGCGAAAAACCAAACAAATTAAGCTACACTACAGTGAAGATTTAACGTCAGACAAAGAAGCAGACCTGAATTTTGTAAGCACATGCTACCAATCTGAATTGTCAAGTTTAGAACTGGTGAGAGATGGGGCCAGAGAAATAGAGACAGTATAACTGGTGTGGTGCTTCCCTTGCACATAGCTGACTTAGGTTAGTTCTTCAGCACCACAAATGGTTTCCTGAGCACCACCAGAAGTGATTCTTAAGCACAGAACCAGGAATAAGCCCTGAGCACTGCTGGGTGTGGCTCCCAAATCAAAGTAAATAAAATAAAACAAAAAGGATGTGATGTTGTGATGGCACTGCTCCATCTCACAAAGATGGCAGTTACATGAACCTATATAAGTGGAAATACTTGTATTGAGAAAAATTTACAACAATGATAAAGATATATATATTTTTTAAGTAGAAAAAAATTCCATTAAACTTAAAAAGAAGACACTCAGACTGAGTGGACAGTTAATAAAACATACATGGCTAGAGGCAGAGCGATAGTACAATGGGGAGAGCTTTTGTCTTTCATACAACTGACCCACATTCCATCCCAGACATACCATATGGTCCCCCAAGTCAACCAGGTGTAACCCTGGAGTGCAGAGCCAAGAGCCTCAGTGTGGCCCCGAAACAAGAAAAGGCCATACTTGGCTAAAGTGCCCCCTGAGAACCAAAACAGGAAAGATGGGTTTTACTGTCTTCTTACCTCAGCAGCTTCCACCTGCTGTTTGATGATGGAAGGGTCAATACCGGGGCTTTCCAGGTCATGGACTATGTCCTGGGTGTCTTTGATGGTGGTCAGGAGAGCTGCCATGTCGTACCAGAACTTCTCCGCCAGTTCAAGGACATCAAGAAACTTAATTTCTCGTTCTTCAGCACGAGCTTTGATGTCCTCCCAGAAGAAAACCATTTGATCCAATTTGTCCTGGATTTCTGAGAGGGCAGAGAGAAGATGGGAATAGAACTTCTCTACCTAAAATTAGCCTAATCAGAAATCCAAATTCTGGAATTTCCAGTGAAATGTCGCAAACAAACAAAACCCCCAAAACTCCAACACCCCCAAATTATAATGGAAGGGTAGTTTTCTGCCTTAGTTTTATTACTGCATTTTCACATTAGCATTTTTGTTTATGTTGATCTCCCACAAAAAGAGATCAAAAAGATAATCTGGAATGAAATGAAAAATCATCTGCTATAAAGGTGTTGCTATGCTATAAAAACCTCTAACAAAGAAATTTAGAACTCTGTTTCCAGTGTTATAGGTTAAACTTGCTGTTTCCCATGGAAAATGTTATAAAAGGTTAATTATGTACTATCCACTATTGATATTACAGTTCACTGATATTAGGGGTTAAAGGAATGTTTGTTTCCTGGCGTGGGAATCTGACTAACAATTGTAACCTTGTTTCAATGGGGAGATGTGTCCTGAATTCTAAATAACTTCCAAAAGACATTCTGAAATACTCATTACTAGGAACTGCCGTTACAGTCAATGAAACACATAGGGTGGGATGCTGAAGATAACTACAGTCTAGACTTTGTTTTACTGATTAAAAAAAAAAAAAAGGCTTTGTGGCCAGGAAGATGGCTCAAAGTACTGGAGTATATGGTTTGCCTGGGGGAAGTCTCAAGTTATATCTCAGTTGTATCATCAGGTGTAACCCCTGAGTTCAGAGCCAGGAATAACCCCTAAGTGTGGCCCTAAAACCAGAAAAAAGAAGAAAAACCGTCTCTACTTGAAATTATATGGTATACCTGACACCAAACGGTCCCTCAACTATTGCTGGTTATGGTAAAGAAAAAAATATCATCCAAATACCTTTTGCAGCCAGATCCTTGTCAGCTCCTTGAGATCTCCCAATGAGCTCTTCTCCACGCCGCTTCAGGGCCTCAAAGGAAGGCTGCAGTTTTTCTAGTTCCATGGTGGCACTCTTATTGTCATTGATACACTCTCTGATCTTGTCTACTTCAGCAGGAATTGCAGGAGGCATACGCAGGCGAGAGGAAAGATTCTCCAGCGTCTCCAACATGGGCTCAATTTTATCATGGAACTAAAAAGAGGTTGGTCCATCAGTCATGATACTGCTGGGGGAAATGCTAGAGTCAAGGTATAAACCTACTGCTATTTAGAACCCATGCTCGGCCTCAATTGTTGGCCTAAGAACTATGCCCACCTATGGGCACAGTTCACTAGAGCTGGCCCATCAACAGCAAAAACAAAAATAACAACAACAAAAAAGTAGATGTCAATTTGAAGGACCAAAAAGGTATTAATATATCAGAAATCAACTTAAATCACTGTTGCTGCCACATATATCCCTTCTTCCAAATAATATGACAAGAAAGGAATGAAACTGGTGAGTCAGGGTGTTAACATCTTGGATGACAGCTGCATGCAACGGGTAAGATCAACAAGTTAGATGCCCTCCACAACCATGTAAAAGGATGGGGAACTCAACATGACTTGGAATTTTACAAGTATGGCATGCAATTTAACAACCCACTATACATAACAGTGAGAATGGAAAAATGTTGGTATGGTGAAAGGTAATAGGGAAACTAAGTCAAACATTATTCTAAAAGAACGGTTTGCTTTCTTTTCACTTTTCTGGTACATTATCCTTAACATTTTCACTTACAATCTGAAGCAGAGAGGAAGTCAAATAGAAATCCTGTCCCTTAAAAAGCTATTTAAAACCAACTCTGGATTAGCAGATTAGAATAAAAGGCCTGACAATTCCAAACGACCTACAGGAAAAACATGATGGTATTTCCTTAACAAAATCACTTTCCATCACTCCCTGGGTTCCATCCCAAATGAAACTGGCACAATAAATGACATCAACACAATTTAATTCTACTAAAGCTATTAGTGGAATTAAATTGTAAGTAATTTGATTCTCAGCTTCACCAGAACACCCTAGTCCCATGGGAGTGGTACCTTACCTCTGTTATCTGTAATGGTGGGCGCAGTCAACACAACAATGAAATGTGACGATGTGGGGGAAGACAGGAGCAGGCAGCAACAACACAGAGTAACACATTCCACAATGTGAGTGAGAGATGAGACGGAGGTGGGGGGAGGGGAAAAACTTGAGTAAGTACAAATATTAACCAAGAATATTGACTAAACACAGGAATAAAATACCCAGACATGACAAAAGTACCACTAGGAGTAATATATTAGTTGAAAAGTATGTAGTTAAAGACGCTTTAAACTTCACCACTACGGGTTGATGGTCTTTGGCTTTTTCCCTACTCAAGCATTTCACTCTGAGCTAGAAATTGGCTGGTGGCCTCTTCAGTAAGAAAACTTAATGTGCCATCTCTTCAAACTCTGTAAACTAGTAAGTCCAACAGGACATTTATTTGCTTTTGAATCTGTAGGTTAATGCATCCAACATCTTCCCTGTTAGAGGATATCAAAATATTCAAGTTTTTAAGGAAGCCATCAGCAAACAGTATATGCCAGCCAAAATACTTCTGACCCTCTTTACAGTCTGTTCCCTGGAATAAAAATCATCAACATGTTGGTCTGGACATTCTTAATTATCTGTATCTCTTAAATTGATACAGAGACCTACTTAACCTGAAGGACAACTGAAGATTATTTGAGTTTAAGACACACATATACCTGAGCCGACTGGGAAACAGCTTCATCCAGAGCCAGGGCCCGCTGGCGCACTTCCTCTTTTATTTGAGCATACATATTTTCAGCTTTCTGGTATTTTTCTTCCACCATTTCCCCCTCTTCAGGGTTCAATTCCTTTAGCTGCGGGCCTATCTTTAGCAGTTTATCAATATGAGGTTTGTGTTCTGCAATGGATTCTCTTAGTTGCTTTGCAAAGAAATATAGATTAAAACATAATGAGCATCTTAATACCAGTTTATTTACTTAACTACTTTGATCAGAGCTCATAATATCTTCAAGAGGAATAACTGTTAAAAATAGCAAGCCCCCACATCTTGCCATTATGGGAGAAAAGAGAAACATCTAATTTCAAAAATCAGTTCAGATATCCCATTGATTCAGAAAGTCTGGTATACTTCTCATTTTCTTCCAGTATAAGTTTATTCCATCTCATCTGTGCTCATAAATACTTTTTTTTTTTTTTTTTTTTGCTTTTTGGGTCATACCCAGCAATGCACAGGTGTTATTCCTGGCTTTGCACTCAGGAATTACTCCTGGTGGTGCTCAGGGGACCATATGGTATGCTGGGAATCAAACTCAGGTCGGCCGCGTACAAGGCAAACGCCCTACCTGTTGTGCTATTTCTCCAGCCCCAATACTTCTATTATACTGAAATTTGGCTGGAGTGATAGCACAGTGGTAGGGTGTTTGCCTTGCACGCAGCCAGCCCGGCCGAGCCGGGTTCGATTCGTCCGCCGCTCTCGGTGAGCCCGGCAAGCTACCGAGAGTATTCAATATGCCAAACACAGTAACAACAAATCTCAAAATGAAGACATACTGGGGCTGCTCGAGCAAATCGATGAACGGGAGGACAGTGTATACTGAAATTTACATAGTTTAGTATCTTTATTCCTCCCAGACTGAAAAATACCAAGTAGCACAAGATATGAATAGCAAATCATGATAGTACAGTCATAACCTGATTTTACTATTGGCCACTTCCAGTTTATACTCTCCTATTTATAGGAAAACAGAAATAGGAATAACCATATCATAAACCACAAATAAAAAGTTTGTGAACTGTAACAGTATTGGTTGGGGGCCTATAAATTTCACTTTTATCTTAATTATGCAGCAAATGCTTCCTGATGTGCCTTCAAGGCCTTTACTCCATTTGGGGCCTGATCCAGTGGAAAGAGTGACCCAACCACACCCCGCCTATCAGTCGATAGATACCCTGTGGTCCCTGGAAATATTTTTTAGTTTATTCTGTATTATTATTATTATTATTTTGGTTTTTGGACTACACCTGGCATACTCCTGGCTTTGAGTTCAGGAATCCCTCTGGTGGTGCTCAGGACTAAATTCTGGCTCTGCTTCAGGGATCACTCCAGGTGGGGCTCAGGGGACAATATGCGGTGCTGGGATCAAACTAGGGACGGCCATGTGCAAGGTAAACACCCTACCGGCTGTATTCCCTCTCTAGCCCATAATTTTTATTTTAAATTATCAAATGTTCGTTTCTGTAATACTCAGTTTCCTGAGATCAACATACTTTTTATTCTTCAACTAATGTCCATTAAAAGACAAATAAAATCTAGGAAATCATTTCAATGTGCAAAGAAATTCTAATTGATTAAGCATTAACTTTGTAATGCTAACGCTAATATGATTTTTTAAATTTTTTTTTTTGCTTTTTGGGTCACACCCAGTGACACACAGGGGTTACTCCTGGCTCTGCACTCAGGAGTCACCCCTGGCGGTGCTCAGGGGACCATATGGGATGCTGGGAATCGAACCCAGGTCGGGCGCATGCAAGGCAAACACCCTACCCGCTGTGCTATCTCTCCAGCCCCTAATATGATGTTTTTGAATAAACTGTAAAGCCCATTGCTAGGTCTGCCATAAAATGAAACTCAGTATGCTGCTTACCCTCATTTCTTCTTGCTGCTGTCTGAGTTGCTCATGATCAATGGCAGGAGGAGGTAGCTGTGCTATGAGTGCCCGAGTCTCCTCAATCCAGGGGCTGAGCTCCTCATAAGTTTCCCAAAATTGGTTCACCAAGACCTGGGCACGCTCAAGGCGGGCATAACGTTCAGAATTGAGTAGACTAATGGCTTCATATTGTTGTATTAGAGATTCTGTCTTCTCCTATACACATTCATAACAAAAAATGAAAGTTATTATGATTATGAACCTTAAAGGAAAAATGTGGGTATACGTACTAAAAGGTTTAAAGAGAATATAAACAGTTACAAAATAGGAACTAGTCTGAGAATTAGACTTCTTAGTATAGAGGAAATTAAAACTACTTGTATTCATTTTGTTTTTGTTTGGGGGCCACACCTGACAATGCTCAGGGGTTACTTCCTGGCTCTGCACTCAGGAATCATTCCTGGTGGTGCTCAGGGGATGCCAGGGATTGAACCCAGGATGGCCACAAGTCAAGGGCCTTACCCATTGTACTATCACTCTGGCCATAAAATCACCTGTTTTTTTTTTTTTTTCCCTTTTGGGTCAGACCCGGCGATGCTCAGGGGTTACTCCTGGCTTCTGCACTCAGGAATCACTCCTGGCAGTACTCGGGGGATCATGGGATGCTGGGGATCGAACCCAGGTCGGCCGCGTGCAAGGCAAACGCCCGCTCGCTGTGCGATCGCTCCGGCCCCAAATTACCTGTATTCTTATGTGAATTTTTATTTTTGGGAATCACCTATCAAAGCTCAGGGGTTATTTCTTGATCTGTGCTCAAGAATCACTTTGGGTGGGACTCAGGAGGATCATACCAGACTGACCCAGTCTCTCCCACACAACGTATGTATAGTAGTCCTTTGAGATGACACGAAAACTATTTCCCTCGTCTTATTTGTTAAAATTTTATTGTAATTGAGCTGTATCCAATTTTATTTTACAGATGAATTTTTATGCTCATAAGGTTTTTCTTGTCTTCTATCTATGATTCAAAGTCTCTACAAACCTGCCATTTAAACTTCATATAGATTTCTTAGGAAAAATAATGGTTTAATCACACTTTTTATTAAAAAAAAATAAGGAGTCTACAAGTGACCTTTTAGAAGAACCTGAAGAAATTATCTGCATACAGTTCTGAAAATACATCACTTGATGACCTGAAATATCACTTAGAGATCACTCCTTGTAGATAATGATTAAGAAGCAATTCCTGCTATAGAGATGGATTTGCTGTGTATCGCATATAATACGGGAGGTTAGAATTTTGCAAACACAAGATCAGAAGGCTGAATTTCCTGGCCTTTCAACTTATTCTTAGATGCCACCATAAGTAGAGGGACCTTAATAACATTATCCCACAACTATACCTCTAACTCATCATGGTGAAGATAATAAAATAGTAAACAAACGCAATTTACCTGTAGTATAGCTTTCTGCTCCTCTCCACAAGTACCAAAGATTTCACTTCGATGACTGAAGAGTTCATCCATTGAATCTTTGTGACGAATGATGTCAATAGAGAAAGCCTTTGAAAAGTAAGCAACAGTTAGATTTGAAGTAAAAGGACCTGGAGTCTTTGTTCATGGAGAGTTAAATATAATCTATGAAAAATAAAGCCACATTAAGTTTCTTGTAAAGTTTAAAACTTGAACTATTCACACATCTCATCCTAGAGTAGCACTGTAGCACTGTCCTCCCGTTGTTCATCGATCTGCTCGAGCAGGCCCAGCTACCAGTGATGTATTCGATATGCCAAACACAGTAACAACAAGTCTCACAATGGAGACGTTACTGGGCCCACTCGAGCATCCTATAGTAGTATAAAAAAAAATCTACAAGTTTAAAATTCCTCCCCCAAATTGCCATTAATTCCTAGAATAATGGGCTATTTTGTTCAACCGCAAAGTAAAAAATCTTTCCTCCTAACCAATTAATTTGTGTCCACCATCATGACAATGCATTATTCCACTTGACCTGGTATAGTTGGAAACTTTTCAACTCAAAATATGAGCTTGGGACAGCAGAAATGTGTGTTGCGCTTACCTTCTGTACCTGAAGCTGAGCTGTGGTCTGGTCTTGTTCCAGGCGAATTGGACCCAGGGCCATTAGTTTCCGTTTTGTTTCAGCAACCCAAGCTAGTTCTGCATCAGCAGCTTGCTCATACTAGTAGATGTATTAAAGAAGAACAAATTACTTAAAGTTCTATTTCTTAGAATTGCAGTGAATTCAACATAGGCTTGAACTTTCAGAACTATTTTTATTTACTTATTTATTTGTGGCGTCAAGGATGTAACCCAAGCAAGAGCTCTGCTACTGCTGAGCTACAACCCTAGCCAATACAATTACTATTTCATAAAGGAAAGCCAAAATTGGAGAGGATTTAAGTACAATCAAGTTGATACTAATTCACTATTTTTACAAAAAAGTTGGGGAACCCAGTAGACTTTCAGCTAGAAAGAACAGAAACTGAGAATCATAAAATGAAATAAACTTCTAATTAGAGTGCTTTCACAAGGCTTTGTTCTGTCAATTCTCTTCTGTACCAAACACTGAATAATAATAGTTTTTGCACACTAGTTAAACCAGCCCCTTAATTTGTATTAAAGAACATCTAAGTGTGAGCTACCTGTGGTACATACTAGCAATAATGTGTTAAATAACAAAAATCTGGCAGCAAAGAGATAAATCAATTTGGAAGTACTGATTCAGCTGAAGAAGTTTAACACCCCATAATGCCAAAACTTTTATTTTTTGATACTTAGAGCTGGGGTTTGGGTTACACCAGTGGTGTTCAGGAATTACTCCTGGCTGTGCTCAGGGAACATATGTGGTGCTTGAGATCAAACTGGAGTCAGCAGCATGTAAGAAAAGCACTTTTTCCCCTGTAGTATCTCTGTGGCACAATCCTAAACCTTGATACAGTCTATCAATAGCAAAGAAATTTTCTGTGACTATTATTTAATAATAGCTTTCTGTTCAATTTTAAATTCTGCCAATCTAAACTATGTTCTAAAAAGGTAAGAGGTATGTAGTATTTATGATAAGTTTCACAGTGAAACCTTTGCCCAAGATTAGGGACACGAATAAAGATTTATTGGGGAGGTGCTTGGAGTCAGAGCAAATTTCTGTGTGGCTTAGAAAGCATTTGTGGTTCTGGAGTGATAGTATAGCAGGGAGGGTACTGGCCTTGCATGCCGGGTATTGCTCCCAGAAACACAGAAACAAAAAAGAAAACAAGAAAGCAAGAAAACATTTGCCTATCACTATGAACCCAAGGAATCATATTAGATTAATATTTTTTTGTGTGTGCTATGGCACGTTGTGAGTATCCAGCTATTAAGAAAAGCAAGAAACTGTTTCCAAAAAAAAAAAGTAGGAAGAAAGAGAAAAAAAGACTGAGGGAAACATGACACCTGTGTTTACTAGCAGGGTACTATTTTGGATAGCTCTGCTATTTTGGCTTGCATATTTGATAGTAATTATAGTTCTTAGTTCCTCCCTCTCTCCATCTAATGTTAAAGCACTTGACTATGTCAAATGAAGATTGTGACACACCTGTATCTTTTGAGCCTAGCTATTATCTACTCCCATTACTGTCTTAGCAGGCCATGAGCAAAGAATGATCCACACAGACTTTTTTCGAAGTTCTCTGGTAAAGGGACCAGAATTTTGGTTCAAACCCAGAGTCATACTAACAGATCTGTACGTACTCAGTCACTTCCCATTACTGAAAAAATCTGTTGCATCATATTTAGCTTAATTTCACTAGTTCCACTGAGACTGCATTTTTGTGGGTTCTAATTTTGCACCTCATACGTACATGTCCATTACCTAAAATATGAATGCAGAGATAAACATTACCTGCTGTGATCTCTGAATAGCAGCATCAATTTCATCCACTCTTTGTCCAACAGTGTCACTGACCAGTTTGTACTGCTCGTTGGCATCAGATACAAGTTTATCCAGCCCTTCTCTGGCTCTCCAGGGCACAAGCTCTAGGAGGGCCCGGCTCACCTCATTCACGGTGTCCAACACCAGCCTGTGCTCCATGACCTCCTTCTTTAATTCCTAAGGAGAAAAAAAAAGTTTTCAGGCCATACGTTGCTAAATTAAGCATATTAGCAGCTGTGATGGGTAGAAAGTGCTATCTCTACCACACATCCCAGCAGGGCTCTGACCTCCTTCCTTCAGTTTTCTTCTTGCTCAGATTTTTCAATCACTGGCTTTAGACTTAGCTGTTGCTTACTTAGAACTGTCTGTGAGGGCCAGAGAGTACAGCATGTAAGATACTTACTTGCCCTGGAGCCAGAGCATAAGCACAGCGGGTAGGGTGCCTGTCTTGCAATGCAGCCTGCCGGGGTCTGATCCCTATCACCCCATGTGGTTCCCCAAGCCCACCAGGAGTAGTTTCTGAGTGTAGTGCCAGTAACTCCTGAGCACTGCCAGGTGTGATTCAAAGGGCACTTACTTGCCTTATATGCAGAAACTTGTTTGGATCCCTGGTATCAGATCTTGCCCCTAACCCCACCATGAATGATCCCTGAGCACAGAGCCAGAATAAGCCCTGAGCACCACTGGGTACGGCCCCCAAACAAAACAAAACAAAACAAAACAAAACAAAAAGAACTATCTATAAGACTTCTTCAGCCAGGTTAACAAGTACTTAAAATTACTTAACAGTGTTTCAGTGCATACTAGGTTCTGCAGGAGAACCAAATATAATCATGAAGCTGGAGCCATAGCACAGCGGTAGGGCATTTGCCTTGCATGCAGCCAATATGGCTGACCCGAGTTCGATTCCTCCGCCCCTCTCGGAAAGCCCGGCAAGCTACTGAGAGTATCTCGCCCGGAAGGCAGAGCCTGGCAAGCTCCCCATGACGTATTCAATATACCAAACACAGTAACAACAAATCTCACGATGGAGACGTTACTGGGCCCACTCGAGCAAATCGATGAACAACGGGAGGACCGTGACCGTGACTCTTCAGAGAGTGCATCATGAAAGTCAACTGAAAATGTTATTTAAGAAGCAACTTTCTAGGGCTTTGGAATACAATCTTCTTTGTTCTTTAATTCATTTATAGGTTTTATGTCAAATATCACTGTCTGTGAGAATGAGGCATGCAGAAGTATTTTGTTAGATTTAACAGAGAAGTATTTGGTGAAGTTGAGGCTGGAGAGTCAGTACAAGGATTAATGGTGCTTGCTTGGTATGCAGCCAGTTCAATCCCTGGCATTGAATATGGTGTTCCAAGTACCACCAAAGGGTGACTCCTGAACACAGAGCCACGGAATAGCCCCTGAGCACAACCTGGAGTAATCCCTACACACAACAACAATAACAAAATAAAATTAGTTAAAAAAAAAACAAACAGTAATTGAACTTAAAAGTTCAAGGATTAAAGATAAAATTTTAGGGTCCAGTGAAATTGGGAAAGGCACTTGCTTTGCAAGCAGCCAACCCACTGGGAGTGATCCCTGAGCACAAGGCCAGAGTGGAGTACACCCAGCTGTGGCCCCAAAACAGAAACAAGAAATTCTAAAAGGAAAGCTTCCTCTTATCCTCACCCGTAAGTGAAGGGTGAGGATAAGTGTGAAATGACAACTTACCTTCTGTCTTTGTTGAAACTGGGGTATCTGCTCCCCTGTGGGAGACTGTCCTCCACTGGCTGCCAACTCCTCTTCTACCTCCTTCAGCCATGTGGTCAGTTCCTCGTAAGTAGACTGGAACTTGGTGGCTAGCTGCCGGGCCTGCTCTAACGTCCTGAGGGCCTTGGAACTAGTGACTGTGATGTCTGCATAGCGAGTCTTGATTCCATCCAGTTTTTCCTGAATAAGCAACACCTCTTCACCTAGGGAAAATGATACAAATTACTGGTGTCTGAGAGGACTTAAGGGGGTCACTTTAACTCTGTTCTTCAAATCAGAGCTTATATGTTACAGAAGCCTTCTCCTTTTGGTACTGATTTCACATAGTATTCCACAATAGAGGTAGGAGGAAAATAAAAACAAAAATTTCATTTATAAATTACCTGAGTTCAACTATAGGTGTTTCTAGATGTCCTAGCATTGATCAGTGAATACTAGCATTCAGTGCACTGAAAAGCAGGGGATGTCAAATTCTATAACCAGAAGATTGAGCAGGGGGCAGAGAGATAGTACAGGGGTTAAGGCATCTGTGTTGCTCAGTCAACTCTGGTTTTGAGCACATAGCCAGGAGTAAGCTTTTAGCACTGCCATGAATGTGCTACCCACGCCCCCACCCACAAAACCCCCCAAAACCAAAACAACAACAAACAAAAAGATTTAGGAGAAAAAAGGAACCCAGGCCACCTGTCAATCAGGAGCATATGCTAAGTTAACTAGCGAACACTATGCTTCTCCTAAAAGGAAAAAGAAGAGGGCAGTGAAAAGTCCTAATTCCTGGATACGGATGTGTGACCAAGATGGTGAAGAGATCCGATTTTCAAAATACCTGTGGTTTGTTTTAGAAGAGCCTGACCATTTTTAATAGCTTGATCTACATTCTTCTTTCTATTAATAATCTCTTCATTTAAAGCCTGAAAAGGAAGAATACTATTAATCCCCAAATAATTGCACAGAAAAGGAAAATAAATAAGACCAAATATCAGACATTTGGTTCCATCAATGTCTTGTCTATCCCATCATTACAAAACATGAATGAGATCCCATAGGCAAACATTCCTTTTTAATGAAGAGGTTTATAATTCAATCAGCTTTACCAAACTATTGGTACCGACCCTATTGAACTCAAGAAAGGAAGTAGAAATCAACAAAAATGTCTTATTACGTCCAAAACAAATTAAGACAAACATCCAAGAGAAGAAAAGTTAGTAAGAACATGCTGGTTTAAATCAGGATTCCGGCTAAATACGCTCAAGCAGAAGAATCTCTGAGTATTCGAAACAATTTGCTTTGCCTATTTTACTACATTCTACGAAGTTTCACAAAAAGGAAAAGGGAAAATCATTTTCTATTAAGATGACATAAAAATCCCTGGACTTTCAGCAAAAATTCTAGAAAAGCAAAAATAGGTTAGGTCTATATGATCAAAACCTGGGTATATTTACTTATATCTGGTTTTAAAGTACACGCACTTTAAAAACTATTTAGATGGTTAGCAGGCCGCGCGACATCATTTTATTCTAAAACCAAGCTGTAGAAAGCAAATCATTTCACAACGCTGTTTCAGCATGTCTGATTGGAGGGGGGGGGGGGGTCGTAAACTCTAAACAATAATTGTGCATCTTCTATCGAAACAATGTATTTAGTCAAAGTAGATAGAGTATTAACTAGAACTCACAGGAATTGGGAGGGGTGGGAGGTGGGGTTCTATTGGGGTTCGCGGTTAAAAATAAGTATTGGTAAAGGGAAATGTGTTTGATATTTACATGACTGAGACCTAAACCCGAAAGCTCTGTAACTTTTCCCACAGTGATTCAATAAAGAAATAAATTATGTAAAAAAAAAAAGAAAATTATTGTTTCATGCACATGGTCCATTGTGAGCTTTGCTGTTATTTCAGGTTAGAAGGGTCAGTCTGGTATGCTAGTCCATCTTGACCAGAAATATTGTTTTAAATTCTATTGTAATGCTATTTAAAATAAATTTTATCCAGGTATAAAAAAAAAGCTATTTAGATGGAAACTTGGTGATACACAGCATAACAGAAAATTCTGAGTTAAAACTGAGATGGCTACATTCTGTAAAATCTTCTAGGTACAACTTGGAAGTGCAAGTATTTCCATAGTTTAAATGGAGCAGTCTTTAGTATCCAAGTCTATAGTCACCCACTTATGTATAAACAGAAATGTGAAAATTTAAAGAAAAGGAATGAAGGGACATATGAAGCAAAATTATAAAGTAAATCGGCAACATAAAGAAGAAGAATGGAGAACACGAATACCAGGTGGTCAGCATGCTGTTTCTGCAGGACATCCTGTCTGTAATCCTTTACGAACACTGAGCTGAGCTTGTCCTCCACCTCAGCCAGCCAGTTGAGCACCTCCACCTCATCCTCCCCGAACAGTCTAGCATTAGACAGTGCCTGTTCAAGCAGGGCTGCTTTCCGAGAGCACCGGTCTAGAATCTCACTGTATCGGGCCTGCAACGAGTCTAGCTTTTCGGACAGCACACCCTGCTCTGCAGAACATGTCAGGGAGGAGAGAGTCTGCCCAATTTTGACTGCCTGGTGCACATCTGCCGCATGGCTTTCTATTTCTTCCTCCAGAGCCTGGAAATCCATACGGAAAAAATGAATAACAGAAACAAAATAAATGAAAAGCATGAAACAATGAATAAATAACAAATGATATAAAACATAAAAAATTAACCAACCGAAGGGCAAAATTATAGAAAAATTGAGAACAAAAGCTACTTTTCTGGATGATGATAGCCTATTTGTTGATTTAAATTTCCATTTCATGAATGTGATTTTACCGTTATCTGACCATAATTTTTTTACCCACATTTTAAGTAATTTGACCCTAATTTCCAAACCAACCGCCCCCCCGCTTTAAACTTTTTAAATTCCATAAACATGACTTTAATGTTGCAAGCAGTTTTCTGATTTCTAGGAATTCAGAACCCAGGTCTGTGTTTTCATTTAGCGTGACTATTTACGCTAAACAATTTCCTACCTTGTGTCGAATGATCTGCTGCTGTATTTTGGCAGCCTGAGTGCCAACAGGTTCTGAGTTCGCAAGTTTTTTCTCTGTGACAGATAAGAAGTCAGAAATAGGCTCAGCTGTCTCATGGAATTGTTTGGCCAGAACCAGGATATCTTCCAGCTGTTTTTGCCTACACAAATATACAGGACAAGCTGCTCAGACAAGAAGTCACATTAAGACTGATAATAGTACTATACTCAGTAGAATACCAATCATTGCCAGGCACACTATAAGTACCAGTAGTAAACAGAACACATAAAAAGCACTTTGATATTTTAAAGGCTTTCACAAGCAGTACCTCATTTTGATCTTCCCAGAACTTTTAAAGATAGGCTGATTTCCCCACTATTACAAAACTAAAAGTAGACTCTATAGGCTTAAAGAGAAAATTCCCAAGCTCTCCAGTGAGTAGCAACAGGTTACCGAGGTTCAGAACCAGACTTTCTAATGCTCTTATGGAAAATAGCACAGGGAATCATCAGGTCATGTGACTGAAATGAAAGTTTGTGTCAAAGAAACTTCATTTCACTCACTCTCACTCTACCTTCACTTGAGTGAAGACAGCATTTGAAGCAACTATGAACTTGAACTTCTTTCCCACTTTCCCAAATCCAGCCAGGCTTCTAATAAAGTCAATAGACATTAACATAAAAAATGACCTCAGACTAGCTGAATTTGTCGATACAAATGGCAGATGGAAGAACTATGAACCTTATAGTTTACTTGGAATCTTATTTAATATGACATTCATAGCAAGCTTTGATTTTATGTAAACTATAGATAAAAAGTAACATAATACAAAGGGGAGAGAGAACCCTTGAATGTTGGGAGCACCCTAACAAGAGAGGAAAAACACCCAAGAACTGTATTAGTAAGCAGAGTAATAATGGAAGGCAATATGGATGACTACAACATTAAGAAGAGACTAGATGTGGGTCTGAATGATAGTATAGCAGGTAGGGTCTTTGCCTTACAAGCTGACCTGAGTTCGAGCCCCAGGACCCCATATGCTCCCTTGCACACTGCAGAGAAAGATCCCTGGTGCAGACACAGGAGTAAGCCCTTGAGTACCACTGGCTGTGGACCCCCGCCAAAACAAAATAAAAAGAAGAGATTAACTGCTATTATCTGAAAAGGCCTGGAGTTGGGCTGAAGAGTTCGCTTAATTGCGTGGGGCTTTACATCAAGAGTCCCGGTTTAATCTCCAGCAAGCTGGAAGTGACCCTGAGCACAGACCTGGGAGTAGCCTTTGAACACCACTGGCTATGCCCCTAAACCAAAACTGAAACCAACAATGTCCCAGGAGTACATAATGCTTGATGTTCTTTTTTTTTGCGGGGGCACACTGGGCACTATTCAGGGGTTACTCCCGGCTCTGCACTCAGAAATCATTCCTGGTGGTGCTCCGGGGACCGTATGAGATGCCGGGGATTAAACCTGGATTGGCATTGTGCAAGGCAAGCGCTCTACCCGCTGTATTATCATTCCAGTCCCACATGGTGTTCTCTAATTGAGAAAACATTTGTTATCAGGTCCTATGCTTGGTACCATGAAAAAAGTGATTGCCTTGTATGTGGTCAACCTGGATTTGATCCTTGAAACCACATACTGTCCTCTGAGCATCATCAGGAATGATGTGCTCAGGGAGTACAGAGCCACTATCAGGTATGGCTCAAAACTAAAACAAAAAGAAAAAAAATACAAAGATTTGGCATTTTTAGTATATAGAAACTCAACTGTGTTTGAACTGTTCTTGTTTTCTTTTTTTCCAGTCTTTTTGGGGAGAGTCATACCAATCTGTGCTCAGGTGTTTACTTCTGAGAGTGCGCAGAGACAATATGTGATGTTGGGGATTAAACTAGGGTCAGCTGTGTGCATAAAAAAGTACCTTAACCTATATTCTCTCCTAGCCCTAGGTCAAAAAAAAATTTTTTTAAATCATTTAATTTCTTTTCCTTTTCATCTTTCACTATTTTTGTTGTGGTGACAGGCGGCTGTGCACTTGGTTGTGATGCTCAGCAGAAATCATGCTCAAATTTTATTTATCCATCTCTATTTTTGGTTTTGGAGCCACACCCAGCAGTGCTCAAGTTTATTCCTGGCTCTCTGCTTAGGGATCACTCCTGGTAGTGTGCAGGGAACATATGGTGCCAAGGGGTTGGCTATGTGCAAGGAAAGCGGCTTAACCACTGTATTATCTCTGAGACAATACACTTGCTTTTTAAAAGAAAAACATGTATCTATATGTCATTTAAAAATATCAATATAAGGGTCAGGAACGTGTTTCAGTGGTAAAGCACATGTTTTGTAGGTATGCATTTAATTCCTAGCACCACAAAACAAAATGTCAATATATACATTTTCTTCTTCTTTCTTTGTAATGCCAGCCTTCAAAAAATATCTTCAATTAATATCACTAAAACATATTAAGATCAATATTAAACTGGACTTTTATTTAAAAAACTATCTTTCATTTCTGGATCTTTCCTTACTTTCTTTTCGGTTTCTGGGCCACACTCAGTGGTGCCTAGGGCTTACTTCTGGCTCTGTGTTCAGGGATAATTCCTGGCAGACTTGGGACACCAGTAAGATGCTGGGGATTGAAACCAGGTTGCCAACATGCAAGGCAAGCATCTTACTCTCATACTATCTCTTTGGCCCCCATATCATTATTTTTCTTTTTCGTTTTGTGTATGTGTGTGTCTCTAGAGTCTCCTGCCCCAGTGCCTGGCTGTCTTCACTGGGGCCCCTTGGAGGGGGGCAGGTTGAGTTTCCCTTCCCGCCTTGAGCAGAGCCCCGGCAGTTGAAGACCTTCGGAACCCAGCCACAGCCATGCTTAAGATCACACATTCGGATGAGCCTCACGCATAAGGGAACTGGCAGAGGAACCCAGGTGTGCAGGACCCGGGGCTGAGATCTCCAAGCCTGCTCAAATCGGGACTGGGCCTCCTCCACCCAGATCCCCCATCTTCCAGTAGCTAGACAGTTACACCCACCAAATGCCCCCTTGCCATTATGTAATCCCATCAACAGCCAAGATTCAAAGACTATAAAACCAAGCTCCCGGAAGTGCACAGCCACATTTGTGGCCGCGCAACCTCTTATTGTCTAGTTCTCGGTCTTGGAGAACCCAGTAGGCTACTGAGAGTATCCTGCCCGCACGGCAGAGTCTGGCAAGCTCCCCATGGCATATTCAATACGCCAAAACCCAGTAACAATGATGAATCTCATTCCCCTGACCCTGAAAGAGCCTCCAATGTGGCACTTTCTAAAACCTCAGGGCTAGGATGAATGGAGACTTTACTAGTGTCTGCTCGAAGAAATCGATGAACAATGGATGACAGTGATACTGTGTGTGTGTGTATTGGTGTCATATCTAGCTGTGTTCAGGGCTCATTCCTGACGGTGATTGGGAAACTATGTGATGACAGGGATCAAACTGGGTTTGGCCATGCAAAGCAAGGGTCTTACTCCCTGTAGTATTTCTCCAGCAATTTCTCTTTCATTTTTATTTTTGGGGAGGAGGGGTGTGGGACACACTCAGCAGTGTGTCTTTTGAGTTCAGAGATCACTCCTGGCAGGGTTTGGGTCACTGCATGGAGTGTTGGGAATTGAACCTTAGTCAGCTATGTGCAAGGCAAGTGTCCTACCTGCTGTTCTATCTCTCTGGCCACACCAAACTCTGATTTCTTTCTGATTAAACTCTGAATTTGGAATCTGAACATCTAAAGAACTCAATGTAACAAGATTTGGGGCAGCAAAAGGGAAGAGCTATAGTAATTCAGAGACATCAAAAACAAAATATTAAAATATTTAAATAAAAGCCTGTAAGATTCTGTAATAAATGAAGTTGATTATTCGTATTTGTGTTTAAGATACTGGTCCAGGATAGGAGAATGGAAATTGAGAGTAAGGATGAAGAAAAGAGTCATAAAAAAATATGTTAGAAACAAAACATGACTTGAATGAACTTTCGGACATAGGAGATAAGAACATATAGAAATGACCACAACATAAGCTACCAGTAAGAGAGTGATAGCAATTAAAAGGAAAAAAAAGTTATTGTTGGGAAATAAAGGTTTCACAGAAGAAGGGGAGATGGACAACATTTCATGGAAGATGTGTCACCATCAGTGAAGTCCTAGAATTAGAAACTGACAGAAGATACTGAGGACCAAACAGTTTGCTTTACCCAAGAAAAACAGAGTAAGAAGGGAAACAATGGAAACTAAGACAAGCAGGATAGGACCAAATACTGGGGGGTTTTAAGTGTTAGGTTCAAGAGTTTAGATTCTGGGGATAGACCATGTGGCCCAGTGGTAGAGCTTCTGCCTTGTATGTGTGAAGCACAAAATCTGATCTCCAGAGCACTATGCACATGTATATGTGCCCCCCATCCACGTTTGGATTTTATTTTATGGGCAATAGGGAAACAGTAAATGTCTCAGGCAGCAAGAAAGACATGATTATTTACAGCAAGATGTGAAGAGGCTGGGGCCTGGGAAGAGAAGAACTGAGAGTCAGGAATGGTTGGCACAAAGCCCTTGGGTTCAATCCCTTCCACCATCACAACAACAAAAGGTGGTATTTGGAATTAGGGAGATGTGCAAAGGGCTACTGAATGTTTTGTGGGTGGGACCCTGGGTTTGATTCCTAGACTTGCATGTCCCCCCACAGTACTATGGGAGTGGTCCAAGCACTATGCTGGGAGTAGCTTCTGAGCATCATTCAGTGTGTTCCAAACACAAAAGCAAAATCCCAAACCCCAAATAATATTGGTGTTACACAGTTATAGAAAAAAGAACTTCCTTGAAAGAACTAAGTGTAGTTAGTGCCCGTATTTTTGCCATGTACTGAAGAAAGTTTATACATCTCTTTAATGTGCAGACTGGATCCTTGATGCAGAAATATCTAACATAAGAATAAGTTAATAAGAAAATATTACCATTCCAAAATATCAGAATTATTTACAAAGTATGAAGTTAAAAGTCATTTTTAAAAAATCCAGAAAAGAATTGCGAATACTCTCGCTGTTCTGATTTTGTAGTAATCAGGACAGGCTAAACATTCGCTATAGTAAGACCATGCATGTGTTCCCGGACTTGGTTCTTTATCTGCCTATGTCTGGTCTTAGAAATGCTGGTGTTAAATTAAAAAAAAAAATACAGGAAAGATAAGCTGGAGCGATAGCACAGTGAATAGGAGATCTGCCTTGCACATGGACAACCGAGGTTCAATCCCTGGGGTCCCACAGGATCCCCAGAGCACTGACAGAAGTAATTCCTGAACAAAGTAATCCCTGAGCATTGCTGGGTGTGGTCCCAAAACAAAAAAATCAGAAAAAACTTGGCAGGATTATAAGAAGCTGTTATCATTTGGAACCATACTTCCATTATAGCACAATAACACTGAACAATGAATTTCTAGTTTTTAGAATTTATGGAGTTGCTGAGACTGGTTTCCTGAGAGTGATTCTAGTTGTGAGAAATATCTCTAAAAACATCCCTCCCTTGGGCTGGAGCAAGAGTACAGCGGGCATCCCACATGGTCCCCTGAGCACTACCAAGAGTAATTTCTGAGTGCAGAGCCAGGAATAATCCCTGAGCATCACTGGGTATGGCCACCAAACCAAACAAAACAAACATCCCTCCTTCAAGATTGAAAAACTACTGAATATGATCCAAAGCACTGACAGAATCATTCCGGAGCTTCCAGAGCTTTAACAGGATTATTGTGATAACAAGTCAAACAAGAAGGCAAAACGCTCTAAAAACCTCTGATTCACCAAAACCTCTTTGACCTTACCTGGCTGCTGCCTTGCTGAGTAGTCCAGTCCACCTACTTTCAAGATTCTCCAACTGTCCAGTGATTTTCTCTTTATCGGCCAGCTCAGCTGATTGTGCTATTCTGCCTCCTTCTGCTTGAAGCATGTCTACTGTAGCCTTTCGATCATCTAGGAGCCGCTGGAGCAGCTATAGCAGACATGTTTAAAAAGAACAGAGAGGGGGCTGGAGCAATAGCACAGCGGGTAGGGCATCTGCCTTGCACGCGCCTGACCCGGGTTAAATTCCCAGCATCCCATATGGTCCCCCGAGCACCGACAGGAGTAATTCCTGAGTTCGGAGCCAGGAGTAACCCCTGTGCATTGCCAGGTGTGACCCAAAAAGCAAAGAAAAAAAAAAGAATAGAGAGTAATAATATGGGATTATTTTTAAATCTAAAATATAGATAAAAGTTTTAAAAATTCACACTCCACAAACTCCTAGATTTACCTGAACAGAATTTTTCATCTTTGAGGCAGAAACATGAGATACAGTAGTTTCTACTACCCAAATAAACTTTTCATACACTTAAACTTGTAAGTGGAGCAGTGAGGGTCATTATGCACTTAACAGGGAACTTATTTTGAACAAGAAAATGCCTTAAAATGGAAATTAAGCTAACAAAAACAGAACCTCGCACATACACAATATATAGGAAGTTCTCACTTATACAAATTAAATAACCATATGAAAATTTTTACCAAATGCTAGCTGATAAAAACAAGAGATAAGTTTCTATGGATAAGTTTTTACAGTGACAAAGATATCAATGAACTTCTAAATAAAAACCCAAAACACTTTAAATATTCAACAATTACTGTATTCATTCATTTCAATAACCTACTGATTCTAGTTCAGACTTGAGGGTAGGTGGGAGGTTATCTCCCATGTACTCAGAGCAAGGCAAAGCGAACTCTAGAGATGGGGTGCTCTTCCGTGCAGGGCACATCGATATACCCACCCTCATTCAGGTTGTTCTGCACAACTCTGAAACTTGGGAGGAACCTAGAGAAAATCCATATAGATGTATGGAGAGCATGCAAACTCCACAGAGTGGCCTGGTGGGGAAAGCACCTCTTCATTAGCATTAGAATAAAATATTGCTCAAGGACCTACAAATTTAGAAAACACCAAGAGCCTATTAACATAAAGCTGTAACTGACACATTGAAATAGAACACGTGAACAAACCTGCTCAGACAATAAATGCCACAGCAACCTATCAGATGAAACTCAGATAAACTTCCACCTTCCTTTTTAAGATCACAAAATGTAGGTTCTATTATACTTAAAACTACTGAACATGCTCCTTAAACTATAAGCAAATGTGGTGTCTGCCACTCCCTACGGCTGTTACAGTTCACTGTCCCAACATTCTCACTTACCTTCTGTTCTTGGATCTGTGCTTTTACCACTTTATACTCAGCAGATGGAGGTTTCTGATTGGCTATGAGCTCCTCAGTGTCAGCCAGCCAGCTAAGCAATGGCTCCAAGGCATCTTGAAACTTCCCACAATGCAACAAAGCCTCTTGCAGTTGTGCAATTCTTTGTGCGACCTGTATCACAGACACAGAGGCTCATTATGAGAAAGAAGAGAGCTTTTTCAATTTCTACTGGCCTTTAATTGCAATTTTTAACAGTTGCAACCTACAGATTGCAGCTGTTAAAAATTCTTATTTCCAGAGAACCCTTAGCATTAGAAATCTTTCCTATGCACTCTTTCCCAGTATATTTCTAATCTTCTTGCTATTCACCTTTTTATTTAGTGTGTTCCATCGAGCGTTGATCTCTTCCATATCATGCTCCAGACCCTGTACATCACAGTTTTTGCCGGCACTTTGAATCAATCCCTGGCCAAGTCCATTCACTTGCTGCAGTTTCATCTGAAGAGGATCCACCTGTTCTTTCTGAAACATCTAGATAATTGCAAGGCAAAGAAGATTTAATCTAAAGGCAATTATATCCTGGTTTATTCTTGAGAGATTTATGATTTAACAAAAGAAGGCCAGGATTAAAATGAAAACATGCTATTTGTACTGGAAAGATCAAGGAAATATGTGGTCTCATATTTCAATATATTCATCTATGATAATTACAGAATTATGATCTAATTAGATTTTTTTTTTTTTACACTCAGGGGTTACTCCTTGCTCTGTTGCTCAGGAGTTATTCCTGGTGATGCTCTAGGGTATCATACAAGATGTTGACAACCACGCCTGGATTGTCCATGTGCAAGTCAAGTGCCACACCCACTGACCATCTATCAACTTCAGCCCCACTACTTAAATCTTTAACCCAGTAACTCGTATCTTTAAAGAAAAAGTTTGCTTAATTTTACTATTTTTAATTTTTATTTTTGGGCTAGTGATGCTCAGGACTTAATCCTGGCTCTGTGCTCATAGATCACTCCTGGTGGTGCTGATAGTCCTGGGGAAAGGATCAAGGTTGGCTGCATGCAAGACAAGTGCTTTGCCTACTGTACTATCTCTCTGGCCCCATTTACTTAATTTTTAATAGAAAATCAGCTTCAAGATATCACAGAAGTGTGATGCATACTAATTCTAAATGGAAGAATACCAAATAACTAGAATTTAAAATTAAAAGTACCTTGGGGAATAGCTCTAACTGACCACTGATAATATGCAATACTCTTCCCTGTGTGAGACTAAAAACTCAAGTAGCCAAAACACATTAGTGATGTGAAAAAAGCAACAACTGCATAACTTAATCCTCCTGTGGCCATTTAATTCCATTCTGTTACAGGGCCACGGACCACACACAGTCATTAATCTTGAAACAGTATTCCTCTAATTATAAAGCAAAACATAGCAGTAATCTTGGAGAAGGACCTTAACAAGTTTAGACACATACAGACACATGCTATATATCCATGACCACCACACAACAAATAGAATTTTAAAGTAATGCGAGTAGGGTTCCAGAGATGCGGTTCAATGATAGAGTGTGTGCCATACATATAGAGAATCTGTGTTTAGTCCCTGGCAACACACATAAACAGTGAACAAAATTAACAACAATACGTATACTTGTTTTTTTTAATACTCAAATAAGTTCTGACTATGAATTTTCTGAAACTTAAAGTCATAAAGAAATATTTAATATCAAGTTTCTATGATCAAATAGAACCTGCCATATTCTATTACTCTAAATCTATTTCCTATTCTTTTTTCTTTCATGAAAAGTTCCTTCTGTTTCAGTGAAACAGGTGAGCAAATAAGGCCATAGGATAAAGAAAGAAACCATTGCATTTCCTCATCCAGTTACTCTATACAACATATATATATATAAATGATACAATCCTAGGCACCAAAGTATAGGGAGGAGAAAAAAAAGAAATAAGAGTAGGGGAGGGGGAGAAGAGATAGAGGAGAAGCAACAGAGGGTAGAGGTCAAGGGGATTCCATAACATTGGTGGTGTTAAGGAATGACAGAACTAAATTTCCAAACCAGAGTCAACACACTTAATTTGCAAGACCCCCAATTTAAAAGGTGCCGGTCAAGACAGCAGGCTGGGTTGGGAGGTGGGTGGGGTGGTGAGGGGTAGAAAAGGGAACCTGAAAACACCGGTGGAAGGAAGATGACACTGGTGGTGGGACTGGTGATGGGGCATTGTACGTTGAAAATACAACCATGGAAAACTGTGATTCATGGTGCTTCAACAAAATAAAATTTGGGGTGGGGGAAGAGAAATAAGTCATCACCAATATGACTCTTGTAACAGACAACACACAGAGGCCCCAAGTTTTTGCCTTTACCAATGGCAACATAAAGACACCGGTTTGTACTATAAGCAGAAAGTAGTATATGGGTGGGTAAGACAGGAATGAAGTGGTCTCTGTGACCAAAATCAAATAAATAATGAATAAGCAGCCTTCTTGAAAAAAAAAAAGCAAACACAAAAATATTCAATAACTGAATAACCGTTCAATTATGAATAATTAATTCATAAGTAATTCATAGTACTTGCATAAAATAAAATTAGAAAAAGAATGGAAGGAAGGAAGAATGAGAGAAGACATAAACAGATACAGGGTCTAGAGAGATAGTACAGGGGTTAAGGTGTTTGCCTTTCATGTGACTGACCTGTTTGATCCCTGGTACCACATATGGTCCCCCAGCACCACCAGGAGTGATCCCAGAGCACAAGAGCTAGGAATAAGACCAGAACACCATTGGGTGGGGCCCAACCCCTCTATCCTAAAGATGTAAAAGGAAAGTATGTTTGGGTAAGACTATTTTGGAAACCACAGAACACACCAGGATTATGTTTATAAAATAACCTATGATGAAAAGTCTATGGATGGATATGGAGGAAGAGCCTAGGAAACACTGCAAAAAGAAGGTTACAAAGGTAAAAGGTTACCAGTGCACTTTCATTTTATACTATAATTTGATCATACCATATTTTGTTAGGCAACGCTACATGATAGCTGAGCTAAAAATGATTATTTCCCAACATGGTCCCCAGGAAAAGCAAGTTCTATGATTCTATTTTGTATCAAAGATGATTTCACTTTAGAAAAATCAGAGCAGAGGGAAACAAATTCATGTTTTAAGTTTCTTGGGCACAATAAAATGGAGATGGGATAGAGATTATAAAGCTAAAGCAAGCACAAAGGGGCCCAGAATAGCTCAGTGGCTTAGAATGTCTGCCTGACAGGCTTGAAATTGTGAGTCTGACCCCCAGTATCATCACATGTCCTGCTGGCATCTGTGATGTTTGTGGTTCCCAGTCCTCTAAGTACAGTCAGAAATGCATAAAGACCACAACTAGGGGTAAACCCCCCCCCCAGCAAGCATCTCAACTATCACTGTAAGCATAAAAACTGGGGTATGCTGGAGCACCGCAACTGAAGAGTATGACTCCCAGTGAGAACAATGAAAATACAACACTCCTTTGTGCCAAGAGCGGATGTACAAGCACTGCAACCTGATGTGCAACCTGTGGGGAGTAGCACAATGAAATATTTGAGCTCAAATATAGACGTGTGTGTGTGTGATCCTGGGTAACTGCAACAACAGTAAAGTGAAAGGTAGGGGATGGAAATTAAAAACAAAAACAAAAAAAACGAACAGTTGAAAAGTTCAAGCAGATGAGTCATCCCAGGTAGACAGGTATCAGGGCTGAGAGAATGGGTACTTCTTGGAATGGGGGCAGGCAGATTCCCTCGACCATCCACCCCTGCCAGAAGGCCTAGAAGGCGCCACCCCATACCAATATCCGCCACCACAGAAATGGTCCAGCTCCACAACTAATTTGGAAAAGAATGACAAGCCACTGAATCATCCCAGGTAGACCCATCCCAGCTGAGAACCCTGGGGTCTTCTCTGGATGGGGACATAGAATTCTCTCTCTGCTGGAAGGCCCAGCAGCCCTCAACCACACTTGACATCATTTTGTTGTTTCTAATGTCTGACATCTATAATAGCTAAAGAATCAGAAAGGTCAGTATTTGCTATCAACTCTGAATCTTAAATGTTCAGAAAGGTCAGTATTCGCTATCAACTCTGAATCTTAAATGTTATACTTGGTATTTTGTTATTATCATCTAGAATAATTGTTCTCATACAAAGCATATTTATTCCATTAAAAAACACACATCAATCACATGCGAGAGACAGCACTGTGGTTAAGGTGCATACCATGCATTTCGTCAATCCTGGTTCTATACCTGACACCAAATGGTCACTAGGGCGACAGAAGGGTTGGAGGCCATAAGGCGCTGCCAGATGTGGTTCTGGAGGTTCCTAAGTAATCCCTAGATGTCCAGGTTGGCCCCTGACACCGGGTAACACCACATCTTTGGGCCCTCAAATTGACTGAGAATTACAGGGAGGGGCCCCAGGTCTTCTGACCACCACTTGGGAGCCCCTCCACAAGCAAATACATCAACTGGGTAGTGATAAGCCATTATACTTGACTTTTTTTTGGTGGGGGGGGGGGGTGTCACACCCGGCAATGCACAGTGGTTACTCCTGGCTCTGCACTCAGGAATTAGCCCTGGCGGTGCACAGGAAACAATACGGGATACTGGGAATTGAACCCGGGTCAGTCACATGCAAGGCAAATGCCCTACCCGCTGTGCTATTGCTCCAGCCCCCAAATATTTGGAGAAAATATTTAACTGAAATTAAGTAGATGTACCTAAAAGTTGTATCCATGAACAAAAAAATTTCTGATCTTCAAAGGATAATAAAAAATCAGGACCATTAAAAAATTCCATAGGCAATTTCTTCTACCAAATGATTATATTTCTAAAAATTAATCAAGCATTCAAACAACAGAAATAAAGAATAATATTCTAAGGAGAAAAAATGTCTAAGGTACAGACGGAAGGTATCAAGTCTACTTTCCATCTGTATTGAAGATTTCCCTTTTACTCAATAATCAAATTTATCTCATGACTTTTTTATTTTCTCTGTGCTGTACAATACAGTTAACCAGCCATGATCACTTAATTTCAGGAAAAATTCAGTTCACTGGGCTCAGAATGCAGCTTTATATCTGAGGCATTGGTTCTATATCCAACACTGAAAATTAAAAAAGAACCACACAAAAAAGCAAAAAACAGTAACACCCTGCCCTGTCACCCAAAGCAATCAGTTTCTTTGACACACTAGTCTCATATACTGTGGCCAACAGTCATGGCAAGTAATTATATTGTACAGTGCACAAATCAGTGGTTTTCAACTTGTGGTCCTTGGATGCTTCTGGTCTGAAGCCATATAAAAAATCATATAGTATCTCTTTAATATAATTACTTTTTGAACTGAAAAAAAAAAAAACCCTTGTATTTATATTCATTAAAGATCCTACTGAAGTACCAGATATATCTAACTATGTATTCAAAAGGGACTAGGGTCCTTTTTTCCAAAAATCTAAAAGTACATAAAAAGCCCTTCTAAGAATATACTACTTATTTATTTTGAACAAAAATGAAAAGAATGATAAAAAGTGTTTTTCAACTGTGGCTTTTCCATCTGTGGCTCTCTCCCAACCCGTAGGACCCTCAGTCTTACAGGTTGGCCCTCTAGTCTTGTTAAATGACCTTTATTAGTCATTTTCACCTGTAGCCCCAAGGAATATTTGGGAGCCAACAGATAATCCACTACTGAGAAATGCTGTGTTATAGAATGCAAAAACTGAAATACTTGCTCCCTTCTCAATACCCCCCAAAAGCTCTTTTGCAAAACCAATGCTCTTAGATACACTACACTTCCTATTCCATATTTTACAATGTTAGTGAAATGGGTCTGTGCCATGTTAATACCCAGTGTGGGCAGACATTTTCTGGAGGATTATACTAGCAACAAGTTATTGCAAGCCTATAAGACGCTACATGAACAATTTTCCCCACAGAACTATTTAAAACACTATATCTTTGGTATTACCACATGATCTCAGTTTTCATTCTAACTGATCCTTTTTTGATGTCCTTTATTCTTTCTCCTTCTCTTCTGGATTTCTAAATGGTAAGTTTTAAGTGGGAAGAGGGGGAGGACATCAGTCCTAGACCCTCTTTTCATTTTATCCTTTCAGGGAATTCCATTCATGCCTATGGCTTTATTAACCATAATGAAGGTTTATGGATTTATAATTTATCCTTTTCTTTTAAAATTTATTACTTTCTTCTAATTTATCCTTTTCTTCTAAGAAGTTTTATAGATCTAACATTTGTCCTTTTCTTCTAAAGTGCAAATTTGCAAAATATTCTTCAAATTTGCACATTCAACTACTTTAAAATAAATCACAGGCAACTCAAGCCTATCCATTCCCAAACTGAACAGCACAATTTACTTTCCCTTCTCCTAAAATCTGTTCTTCCCTAAATCAATCATTTACTACTGCTCCTCCCCTAAGCACTTAGTTACACAAACCAGAACTAAAGTCATTCTGGACCACACACTCTCTCTCAACTAAAAGCCATTAACAGGTCTCATTGGTTCTGCCTACAAAATATATTCTGAATCGACTTACTCAAATCTATTGACGCTTCTTTAAGGTAGTGCAAGTCACCTAGACAGTTGCTCTAACAGGTTTCTGCTCTGTGCCTGAACCCTTATAATCCATTCTAACCACAACAGAAGGTGGAAAATATTCTGTAAAGAAATGAACAGCACACCGAGAACTATGGGAATGAGTTCAAGAGAAACAACCTAAGAATCTCTGGAGTCCCTGAAGAATAGTAAGGAAATTTTTCTTTTTTTCTGCCACACCTGGCAGTGTTCATGGCTTACTACTGGTTCTGCAATCAGGGATCACTCCAGCAAAAAAAAACAGACTCAGTAGGGGCTGGAGTGATAGCACAGAGGGCAAGGGCTTGTCCTGCACATGCCCGACTTGGGTTAGAGACCCCAGAATCCCATATGATCCACTGAGTACCTCCAGGAGTAATTCTTAAGTGTAGAGTCAGAAATAAACCCCTGAGCATCACCAGGTGTTACCCCCCACCAAAAAAAAAGAAAGAAAAGGCTTAGTAAAACTAAGACACACTGAATTCAAAAGAAAAAAAATCCAAAGATAGAGACAGAATACAGAATATTGAAAGGAGCAAGATCAAAGGAGGAACTTGCAAACAAAGGAAAGCCTCTAAGATTACAACTGATCTGTCAAATAAGTCTCTACAAACCAGAGAGAAAGGAGGGACACAGTACAAAAACTCTGAACTGAACACACTCCAATATTCTATCTTGCTAGATTATCATTCAGATTTGAAGAAATGATACAGAACCTCAGGGATAGACAATAGTTTAGGGAATTTATACCCCTGCCCCTTTTGGGGAGTTTTTTGGGTCACACTTGCCAATGCTCAGGGATTACTTCTGGCTCTGCACTCAGGAATTACTCCTGGCAGTGCTGCAGCCAGGTGCTGGTGGGCAATCGCCTTGCCCACTGCACTATCGCTCTGACCCGGAATTTATAGCCTTGAAACCAGTCTTGCAAGGAGATTTTTTTTAAAAGGTAAGACAAATTCCTTAGCGTTTGGCATTGAGTATGGCATTCACTCATGATGTTTATGATTGCCCTCTATAGATTAAGAAAGGTTTGCTTACACCTATCCTACTAAGGAATTTCACACACTTGCAATAATGAATGAACATTCACTTGTATTAAATGTTACATATCTGGTCAGGTGTTGGATTTTGTCCCACAGATTTTTTTAAATTACAGTCCTTTGCTTTTTAATGCAGACATGTAAGCATATCTATAATATTTTCTAACCTCAAGTCAATATTCCCTTTCTTAGTATAAAACACATTGGTTATACTTCTATATACCTATTCAAATTTTCCTCTTGTTTTTTTTTAGCTTAGGACTGAAGAGATACTTCAGCAGGTAGGGTGCTTGCCTCGGACACAGCCAACCTTAGTTCAATCACTGGCACTCTAGATGATTCTCTGAATCCCTGCGAGTAGTGATCCACGAGCAGAGTCAGGAGTAAGACCTCAAGCTCTAAAGCACAGCAGAGTGTGGTCCAAAAACATAAATACTTTTCTCAACTCTCTCCACTTTTGAGGGGGACGGGGCAGAGGAGGTTTGGGCCATTACCTGGCAATGCTCAGGGGTAAATACTCCTGGCGTGGCACTCATGAAACACTCCTGGCAGTCCTGGGGGACCAAAGGAGATGCAGGGGATTGAACCCTGGGTGGCCTTCTATAAGCAAGCGCCCTATTCAATATACTATCACTCTGGCCCTTTAATTCTCTTCACTCTTACAAAATTTTACATTTTTAGAATTTCTCTATTTTATGTAAATCTTAAAATGTAACAACACAATTATAGTATAAATTTTCATTTATATATCTCTTAAAAGTTTTTGAAAAAATTTTTTACTGCATCAATTTATTCTTGATTTATAATTTTGTGAAATTCTAGTTCAGCTGCATTCAACTGTGTGTAGTTGTCACTAACTCCACAGTAAAAAAGTGAGATCCTAGGGAACAACAAATGGTCAAAGTCATCAGAACTGATGATTCTGTCAATAGAACTGAGCTTGCACGGGGATGGGGGTTGGAGGGATGTACTGGGAAGACTCCTTGGGACACTGGTAGAGGGAAGTGGACTCTAGTGGTAGGTGAGATATTGGAATGATGTGTCCATGAAAACAATGAGTAAAATAAATCCCAGTACCTCAATAAGAATGGCTTAAGAAATACTTACAAATCTTAAAAAAATTGAAACAATTCAGTATTTTCTGTATTCCATACCAATGAGTGTAACACAAATATAAAGCAAAAAACCCCTAAGATTTCTAAGCTCCAAAGAATGCTGAGAATGTGTACTGTCACTGTGAACTTGTTTTTCTATGCTGTGGTCAAGAGTCAGCTTGAAAACATGTAAATAAGGACTAGGGAGATAGTTCAAATGGTAGAGCATCTGTCTGGCACATAGAGATCTGAGTTTGATTCCTGACACTGCCTGATGCCCCATCCCCAACCCCTAGCAATGTAGGGTGTAACTGTGGTGGCCTTTCAGTACTGCTGGGAGTGGAACCTATAAAAGTTTTTTTTGGGGGGGAGGGGCCACACCCGGCGATGCATAGGGGTTACTCCTGGCTCTGCACTCAGGAGTTACTCCTGGCGGTGCTCAGGGAACCAAATGGGATGCTGGGAATCGAACCCGGTAAGGCAAGCGCCCTACCCCTGTGCTATCTCTCCAGCCCCCCTAAAAGTTTTTTTCATCATTTCACTTCCTGCTTCAAATTTTCAGTACCCCTTGTACAAGGAAAGTGTCTGATTACATGGCCTGAGTGTGCCGTCTGTGGGGCACTTCCAGAAGAACCAGCAAGTCTGGGCATTTCTAGCCTCCAATCACCAGGGCCACCCCCCACCTTCCAAACAAGTTTAAATTTCTGATTAATAAATAATATGAAGGCATTTTCCTAATTCTTTAAGTAGGAACTAAAAGTACAGAAGCGATGTCTAATACCTAGATTTCTAATGTCATTTCTATCAAGGAATTTCAAAGATTTCTTGATACTATGCTTGCTTCTTTTCTTTAAACTTTTCAAGTTTATTTAACAAAGTTGGACAGGGAAATGTTAAGAGATTTTAGCTGGGTGGAGGTAATCACAATCTATGAAAGAGAGGTCTGAGATAGTGGACTCATATGGAAGAATAGCTGTGTGAAAATACGAATACTTCACAAATTTGTCTCATCCTGGTGCAGGGGCAATGTTAAAATTCCCTGTATTATTCCAATTTTAGTATATGTGCTGACAAAATGAGTACTCTTGATATTATAATGACTGAGTAATATTAAAGTGCAGGGGCCAGAGACAGTACAGCGGGTAAGACATTTGCCTTGCATACAGCCAATCTTGGATCTATCCCTGGCACCAAATATAGTCCCCTGAACACCAGGAGTGATCCCAGGGTGCAAAGCCAGTAGTAAGTGCTGAGTACCACTGGGTACATGCCAAAAACAAGAAGATTTAAGTGCAAGTAAAATGTGAAGCTGAAAAACTCCCCCAAACTTTCAGTCCTTCTGGTTCTTCTGAACTCAAGGATCCTGCTTGGGGAGTATGTGTGGTGCCTAGGACTGAGCCAGGATTGGCCACATGCTAGCCAAAGCCTTAACCCCTGTTAAAGCTCTATTTCTTGGGCCCTAAAATACCTCTTTAATTAAAAAAAAAAGGGTCACCCTCAGCAGTGTTGGATGGGGTATGGGAACCAATGACAGATGGGGCTCGAAGTGACGATTGGTCAGGCAGTGTGGGCCTGACAGTTCAGTGCTCAGAGGACCCCAGAGCAACACCTGATGGCGCTCCAAGGGCCATGAGGGGTAAGGCATGTGCACTATATTCCAGTTCCCAAAATACCTCTATCTGTCATATACATTATCTTGGCTTTAAGGAACACACTTTTGTGTTTAAAAAAAAACTGTTAATTCACACATCTATATATTATTTTCACTAACCTGCTTTGGTGGATTCTTTCAACAGGTCTATTTAAAAGGGAAAGGGAGAGAATGGAAGAACATTGACAGTGTTTGAAACCTTTGTTGGTTTTAATGGCTGGTTTGGGGCACTAGAGATAGCACCACAGACTGAGTGCATGTTTTGCAGGCAGGAGCCCCCAGGTTTGATCTTGGACACTGCATGGTTCCTCAAGCATCATAGGGAGTGGGGCTGGTTCCAAGGCACAGAGTTAGAGGCTGCCCTTAACACTGTCAGCTGTGGTGTGCAACATACATACACAACAACAAAACGGGGTTAAAAGATTTTATCCTTGTAATTCTCACATGGTTCTTTTGCTAGACCAAATGAGGAAACTGGAACCTTGGGAGTCCTAATTTCCCAGAGTGGTTAAGTTTCAAGTCTCACCCCATACTCTGGTCTCTAACTGGCAGCTGATATCACTGATCAATAAATCACCTCTTGATTTAGGAAAGAACACACTTATTATCAATTTCAAAGCAAAATCACTGTTTTTTTGGCTAATGTTTCAAAATGTAAGCCAACAAATGTTTCTATCCCTGTTTTCCTTAGGCTTGGCTTATCTTCAAGAGAAAAAAAAAACCCAAGAAACCAAACAGTATGAATTACAAAGTTTTCACCAGATAAAATGTTCATAAATCCAGTTACAACCTAAATTCAGTAACAACCTGAAAAGCCAGCAGCCCCCAAAGACAACCAAAGGAGGAACAATCAGTGACCTTCTAATAACCAAGTCAGAGAGTGAGCAAATCTTACTTTAATCTCCAGTTCCTTCCCCAACAAAAGAGCAACAATTACCTCATTTGAATTTAATCCATCAATTACTGCCAGAGGCACTTTCCCATGCAGCATTGAGCAAGTTACCTCTTTCATTCCAAATGCTGGGGAGTCAAGGTCCTCTTTAATCCATGTTCCTGTGGGGGAAGCTTCCTCTAGAATGGGAGCTCCTTCTTCTGAGACAGGCACTGAATCAGTGTGGGCAGTATCTCCCAAGAAGGGCACATTAGTGAGGAAAACTTCCTCCTCAGTAAGAACTGCAGCAGCTGAGATTGTAGGTTCCTCTGGGGTAAGCACTGCAGCAGCTGAGATTACAGGCTCCTTTGGGGTGGGCACTGCAGCATCTGGGGCTTTAGGCTCCCCTGGGGTGGGCAATGCAGCAGCTGCAGTGTTAAGCTCCTCTACGGTAGGCACTACAGCAACTGGGGCATTAGGCTCCCCTGAGGTGGGCACTGCAGAAGCTGGGATAGCAGGCTTGTCCAAAATAGACACGGAAGCAGCTGGGGTGTCAGGCTCCTCTGGGGTAGGCACTGCAGCAGCAGGGGCTTCAGGCTCCTCTGGAGTGGACACTGTAGCAGCTGGGAAGTCAGGATCCTCTGGGCTGAGGACTGCAGCAGCTGGGATTGCAGGCTCCTCTGTGGTGGGCTCTGCAGCAGCTGGGGTGTCAGGCTCCTCTGGGGTGAGCACTGCAGCAGCTGAGGGGCCAGGCTCCACTGATTTGAGCACTGTAGCAGCTGGGACTGCAGGTTCTTCTGGGATGGGCACTGCATCAGCTGGAGCATTGGGTTCCTCTGGGGTAGACACTGCAGCTGGGATGACAGGCTCATCCAGAGTGGACATTGTAGCAGCTGGGGCAGCAGGCTCCTCTAGGGTGGGCACTATAGCAGCTGGAGTGATTGGTCCTTCTGTGGTCGACACATTAATAACTGGGGTATCAGTTTCCTCTGAAGTGGACACTGCAGCAGCTGGAGTCACAAAAACTTCTAGAACGTCATCTCCTGTGGTGGGCACTGCAGCAGTTGGAGAACTTCCCTCAGAAACAGACAATACAAAGGCTGGAGTGGCAGACCCCTCTATGGTGACTACAGGAGCCACAGATGTATCTTCCTCTGGATAGTAGTCTGCAGCGACAGCTAGAACAGTTTCCTCTGGGGCAGGCACTGCAGCAGCTGGGGCAGGTGTCTGTGTGACAGATTCTATGCCACAAGCCTTGGTTGTGTGCTCACTGAGCAGTGAACCCCACTCTCTCATTTCTGTCTCTGCTGCTTCCGATGCTGCCATGTTCAGCCTGTGATTTTTATCATCCACAGTTTCCACCCCATCTCTGAGGTGTCTTAGTCCTTCAACCACACTCAAGATCTCTGACTCTGGGGATTTCCCCTGTAGATCCTGAAAGACCTGCTCTGTAAAATCACTAGGCAAATGTGCTGGGGATCTGTCATCTAGAAGTGTGACTTCAGAACCCAGTTCACGAGCCTCACCATCCTCATTGTAATTCTTCTCCATGGACAGTTCAAAAGAATCTGAATGTCCCAAGGCAGGCAGATGGCTATCTTGATTAATAATAGCTCCTTTCTCACTTTCTGAGTGAATCGCATCTGTTAGCAAATGCGAATCATACGATAAAACCTCTATGTCAGATCCTGAGGTAACATCTACTAGTTCATAGCTGAAAACAGAACTAAGGGGGACCCCCTCAGCATATTCCCCAACATTCCCCTCAATTTGACTATGCTCTACCCGGGACAAACTGCTGTTTTCTTTGGCCAGCTTGGCTTCAGAGCCTGATAAATTTTCACAAGAAGCCCTGCAATCAGGGCTGGACAGTTCTTCAGGGTCCAGCTTTCCCAAAGACTCTGGATCTACTGGGTGTCTGAACTTAAATTCTACTGCAGTCCTGGGACTAAAAGGCACTTTTTCAGACTCCTCAGTAACAGTGTAAGTGTCCCTCATGGTATCAGGGTGGGCAACGATTTCCAAAGCATTAGGCACCAGAGAAGAATCCAGAGTATTAAAATAGTTGCAATCCAATTCAGTCCCAGAGTCCTTCACTCTTACATATGAAAGGCCTGCAGGTTCCTTTTCTAAGGCCCCTGGAAAATCACTAACAGTGAGAGAATTTTCTGCATCGTGGGAGGGGGCAAGCCTTTCAGAAGAGGCTTGATTCTTCAGTTCAATTAAAGGAGTTACTCCTTCTTCACATAAGCACTCCTTTTCAAGTTCAAGAAACATCTGCACTGAATCTGTGTCAGAGAGCTGCTCTGAGTCAAAAGGACCTGCAGTACATTCTAAATCTGAACCAAGGCCCTCCAGTCCCTGAGCAGTTCTGTTTTTTAGCTCTCCTACAGCACTCTCACCTGTGAGAAGACAACTGTAATCGAGAGGTGTGTCCTCAAGAACAGAAACCAAATGCTTCTTTGCTGGAGCTTCAGTGTCACAAATCTGACCAACAGCTAGGGAGTCAAAAGTGCCCACGAGACCGGCTGAGCCATCAGCAGCATTTTCAATCACTGCTACAGTGTTTGCTTCTCTTTCTTCAAAAATATCTGTCAGGATGTTCTTTTCCTTATCTGTCATTAGAGAAGCAATTCCTCTCTCTGCTAGTTTCTCTTCCTCCCACTCCTCCTCAGTCTCCATCATGATCCATCGCTCATCCTCCTCAAACTTTAGCTCAGACTCTGTTTTCTCTCTCAGGCTGGGAGTTATGAGAATATTCAATTCAGGATCCAACAGTTCTTCACTTAAGCAAGGGGAGAGAGGGGGCATTTCCACAGTGCAAGCTGTGTCCCCAAGGGGGTGCTGCTTCTCGCTGAAGTTTCCTTTAGCCAAACTTTTCATGGCTCTGGGCCAGGTTGCACTTGAGAATCTGTGTTCCTGCGTTACATCTGTGTTACCACTTGCTGCTGCAGCTTCTGATTCTAGAGGTTGGAATTCATGTGAAGAGCTTTCACTGTGCTGCTGAAGTCTGAAGTCCTTGCAGTCTCCATGAAAGTTTTTTGCATCCTGCACTTCTGGAATACCTGTGGATTTGGATACATGCTCCAGAGTTACTGACGCTGACTGAGGGTCCTTGGAGTCCAAATGACCAGAACTTTCTGTCAATATAGAACTGGATTCCTTCTTTTCTTGCAATGAAGGATTTGAAACACCAGCTTCTGAGACCTCACTAAGAGAAGCTTCCATTCTTTCTGCAAATTCTGGGAAATTTGGTGGCATGAAGGACTTCCAGGATCTCCTGTTAACATTGTCTTTGCGTTCAGCATTTGGACGCCTTCTGGGTGGCACTGGTACTGACTTCTGCCCATCACTGCTTAATTTTAGTGCATCAAATATTATTCTTTCATCCAGCTTTTTGCCTTCTGGTGCTCGAGATTCAAAAACATTAGATGCTGCGCCTAATGTACCATTGCTGGATATAGTACTTCCATCCACCTTTTCCATAGTGCCTTTTGAAGTCTGATTAAGCTTTGACCCCTGGTCGATTTGTTCATTTATTCTCATTGTATCATATATAGA